CTTTCTTGTCATGTCTTTCTGTTTCTTTTTTAAAATCTGATTTGTCCGTTTTTTGAGACAGAGTCTTGTTATGTAGTTCAGGCTGGCCTTGAACTTACTGTGGTCCTCCTCTCTTAGACTGCCTTACAGGTATGTGTCACCATACCTAGTCCTGCTGGTTTTTTTTTTAAATTACATTGTTCAGTAACCCTAGAACAATGTTGTTTCTGATTTTGTTACTGTTGGTTAGTTTTGGGGACAGAGTTTAGTCATGCAGTCCAACCCAGCTTTGAACTGGCTTTGTGATCCTGGCTGGCCTCGAACTCTGGATCCTCTTGTCTTATCCTCCCTAGTGAGCAGGAAAGGGGGACTCAGGAGTTCAAACTGTTTATTGCTAAACCTGAATAGAACTTCTCTGTGCAAACAGAAGAGAAAATGTCTCTTGCAGGCTGAGACTTTTTAAGTAGCATTTTTTGACAAGCTTTTGCGGGTGGAAGGGTGAGTTGGAGGCTTGCTGATATGTTCTCTGACCTACCTGCTAGCATGTCTTCAGGAGACTGCTTGTTGCTTGCTATCATATGCTTGTAACTTCAGTAAAATGCAACCTACACATCTTTAAGATTGTGAGTGGTAGTGTCCCTTTCTGAGCTCTGTCACCCAGTAGCTGAGATTACAGGTGTGTGCCACTGTGCCTGGCAGAACTATGTGAAATCAGAGTGGAAAGAGCTGGGCTGGATTTGTAACTCCATGATAGAGTGCTTTACCTGGTGTGATGTGAGGGTTAGGGTTCAATCTCTATCCCTGCTCACCACTCAAAAAAGAAATGGAAAGAGTAAGCATTTCGTCATATTCCTGTTTCTAACAAAATAACATTATTTCACCACAGTGGAGAGAAACCTGGAGTAACCTAGTAGTAACCAAGAGTTTTCCTGTGGTTCTGTCTCCTTGTCCCTTCCTTACAAGGTTGTTAACTTTGAATTGACCTTTTTCTCATTGTTTCTGCTTCTGCCATGAGAGTTCTGGGACTTGAGGGGTCCCCAGGCTAAGCCACTCCTGCCATAATACCAAAGAATAGAACTTTGAAGAAGGACAGGACAGGAGCTGTGCTCATCATGAACACGCTGTGAAGCACAGCTACAGAGGTTCAATTCTGCCATCTTAGGGCTGATAGAAACTTTGAGGTTTGACAGAAAAGGGGAACAAAAGCAAGGGCTGAAGGTTTTTATAGCTGGCAGCATAGGTGTTGCCTGGACAAGTTGTGCTCTGTTTGGTCAGTATCTCAGGACAGATTCTTTGAAGTCTTGAGAGGATCTTCAACACTGGAGGGACACTTGGTTCCCATCATGGTATAGTGGCTCCAACCTGGGGTGACTTCCTCAGTGAGATGGCCTGTCAAGTTCCGGATGGTTACAGGCTTAGGGCAGAGGCTGGAGACAGGCATACTCCAGGGCAGGGATGATGAACCTCTGGGGACAGTGCTCAGACTGCAACCAAAACCCATTTATTTGTGGCAGTGTGCCGGCACTGCAGTTAAACCTGAATATGAGTTTTTCTTGAGAAGAAACGATTCATACATTAATATCTTCTGTTTAAAAACACATTGCCACCAGTGCTCCAGTGAGTCTGGAACTAGATGTTGTACGAACTGGAGATTAGGAGTCCACAAAACCTGAAGAAGACACTGGTTACTTCTTTCTTAGTGCCTTCAGTTTTGAAGAAGAATAAGCCAGTCTTGGTAAACTAGGTATAATCAACCTTGAATATCCTTCTTACAAACATGTGTGAACATGTGTGGTTAATGTGCCTGCTGATCCAGAGTTTTGAGGTAAGAGACATTATAAAACAAAGACAGCTGAATTTGGTGGTGCACACCTGTAATCTCAGTACTTGGAAGGCTGAGGCAGGAATGAAGGCAGAGAGGTGCCAAGCTTTACCCATTGAACATCTGCAGACCCATTCTCTAGGCCCCTACTAAACTTCCAAGCCTTCCTCTGTCTGTGAAGCCTACATCCTTACTCTCACCCTTAAAACTTTTGTTACATTTTATGAAATCGAGGTGCCTGGTTCTAGAATTAAAAAATAAAATCTTCATAACAGTCTTTTTTTTTTTTTGGACCAAAGATCAAACTTAAGACCTCATGCTTGCCAGGCAGGTACTGTGCCACTGAGCTACATCCTTAGCCCTTCTTGTGCTCGCGTGCACACGTTTTCATGTTCTCTCTCTCTCCCCCTTCTCCCTTTCTCCCTCTCTCTCTCTTTCTTTCTCTCTCTCTCTCTCTCTCTCTCTCTCTCTCTCTCTCTCTCTGTCTCTCTGTCTCTCTTTCTCTCTCTCTCTTACTTTAAATTTTGAGATAGCCTCATTGAGTCACTGTTATCCAGGCTGACCTCCAACTTTGAGTTCTCTTGCTGTAACCTCCCAGCTGGGATTACAATGGTTTCCACCATACCCAGCTGTAATTTTGTTGTGCAACAGTTTTTTTTAAATTACACATTTAGTTTTGTTAACATACAAGGCTATTTGGATTTTCTGCTTTATCTTGTGTCAGTTTGAGTAAATTGTATTTTCAAGGTACTGGTCTGTTTTGTTTGTCTTTCCCAATTTCTTGGCAGGTAGTTGTCTGGGATATTCACTTCTTCATGCCTGTATAATCATTGCAATGAATTCTTTGCACATGTTGCTGACTTCCATTCTCTTGTTGTTTTTGGTCAGTCTGTCTAACGATATAAGAAAAGAATAAACTCAGTTTCTCATATACTTTAAACAGTTAGTAGAGACTTCCATGATCACATGTGTGTCTCCCCATACACTAAGTGGTCAGTAAACTGACCAGCTAGGTATGATCCAATCCTATTAGGTTCTGACTGTCCTCCTGGAGATAGCATCCCACAAGGGCAAGCACAGTCCTGGACACTGCCAGCTACAAGCCCCAGGTTTTCCTGTACTTCTGACCAGCTGCCTATAAGTCAGGACTTCTACAACCTCCAGCTTAGAATCCATTAATTTGCTACAGAGCTGACAGAACTCAGGGATATACGTTTATCAGTTCATTGCAAAGAATATTTTAAAGAATATAGGGGCTGGGGATTTAGCTCAGCGACAGAAGCGCCTGCCTTGCAAGCAGGCAGTCGTGAGTTCGATCCCTGGTACCGATAAAAAGGAAAAAGACAAAAAAAAAAAAAAAAGAATATAACTAGAGGGCTGGGGATTTAGCTCAGCAGTGTAAGCACCTACCTGGCAAGCGCAAGGTCGCAAGTTTGATCCCTGGTACCAAAAAATAAAAACAACTAGATGAAGAGATATATAGGATGAGGTCTTAGAGAATTTTTTTTGGTACACATTTTCAGTCTTTAGACACAGCATACCATCAGTTTAGGTCCTGTGGGCAGAGGGCAGAAGGAACCAAGGCTCATTCTAGGCAGCAACTGGAATCCTACCTAAGTCCTTTCCTGAAGGCCACCCTGCTCCATCTCAAGTTCTCTCAACATTTTCATTGTGATTTTTCCTGTTATTTTCATTTGGTATTTCCTCCTTCCATTTCGTCTGGATTTTTCCCTGTTTTCTAGCTTTATATAGGGTCTTGATGAATATGTCATATTAGTGTTCTCCTGAAAAGAGTACTGATATATATATATATATATATATCTAAAAGGAAATTTATGACTGGGAGTGTATATAGCTCAGTGGTAGAGTGCTTGCCCAGTATGATCAAAGCCCTGGTTTTGATCCCTGATGTATAGATATAGATAGATACAGCATTAGAAGTTGGCTTACATAATTAAGTCCCACAATCTAGTTAGCAAGCTGAAGACTGAGGAAAGCCCATGGTATAGTTCCAGTTAGAATCCAAGACTTGAGACCCAGGGAAAACCAACAGTGAAAATCCTAATCCAGTCTGAGTTTGAATTTGCAGTTCTCCTGCCTCAGCCTCTCAGGATGCATGGATTAAAGATATGCACCACCATGTTTGGCCGTGATTTCTTCCTTAAACTCCATGTTATTTGGAAATGTGTTTCTAGGAATTGAACCCAAGTCTTTCACTCTGAATGTCTTCTCTTTTCTTTCCTCCTTCCCCTCCTTACCTCTCCCCTTCCCTTTCTGTTGATTTATTTGTAGAATCTGACTCATTTGCCCAGGAGGAACTCAAACTTTCAGTCCTTTTGCCTCATCCTCCCAACTTTTTTGAGACTGGGTCTTGCTATGTAGTTCAGGGTGGTGAACTCATTGTGTAGCCCAGGCTGGCTTCAAATTTGTGGTGATCCACCTGCTTCAGCCTCTTGAGTACTGGGATTACAAGTGTGTACCACCGTACCTAATCTGAATTTCATTATTGATGTTTAAATTTACTCATTTATTTTGTTTTTTCCCCATGTTGTGTAAAATTTGACTTTCTAGAGTTTCTTTAGCATTTTCTTTTAAGCTTTCTGGCCATCCTTTCTAGAGTTTTCTGTTTCAGTTTTTTTGTTTGTTTTTCAGACTGTTGCAGATGACCTGGGATCTTATGGATGCTAGGTTGTTGGGCAAGTACACTACCACTGAGGCCCATAGAGCCCTGGCTCTTTGTACTTTGTGTGGAAAGGTTGCTCTGGGAGTGCAGTGCACATCTTTAATGTACCAGCATGTTGGCTGGGTAGCAGTGTTGTACCCCTTTGTATACAGTATATACACATATACCCAGCTGGAACTGTACGTTGCTCCTTTATGGGTTGGAATCTGTTTGCACACATTATAAGCCATTGTTTGTTTGTTTTGTTTTGTTTTTTGAGACAGGGTCTCTCTGTGTAGTTTAGGCTAGCCTTGCGCTCACTTTGTAGCCTATGCTGGTCTCGAACTTGTAATGATCCTACTGCCTCAGCCTCCCAAGTGCTGGGATTACAGGAGTGCACCACCATGCCCAACTTGAGTTTTTAATTGAATTTAATTAATTAATTTTGCTTTAAACAATATATGAAATACACTCTGTCACCTCTGCACTTGGAATTTTTACCTGCACTTGACGTTTTCCTTTATTATTCTCTTGTAGATTAACTTACTATGGCAGATCAGAGGCAGCGTTCACTCTCTACCTCTGGAGAATCACTGTACCATGTTCTCGGGTTGGACAAGAATGCAACCTCAGATGACATTAAGAAATCCTATCGGTGAGTGGCCAAGCAAGACCCTCTGCCCTCCCAGGACACAAGCCTTCAAGAACTGGTGAAAGGGAGGTTCTGGTAATGGTTCTTTCGTGTATCTGTATGCATGGTGTGCCCCTTAGAGCTTATAACTGTCATGGCAATAGTGTTCTCTTAGCAACAAAAACTGAACACTTGGGGGCTGGGGATTTAGCTCAGCAGCATAAGTACCTGCCTTGCAAGCAGGCGGTCGTGAGTTCGATCCCTGGTACCGATAAAAAAGAAAAAGACCAAAAAAAAAAATTAAAAAAAAAAAAAAAAAAACTGAACACTTCAAATGTTAAAGTTATGTACAGTTCCTGTTAAGAGATAGCCAGAGCTTTTCGGGGTTAAGAGCACATGTTTACATTGTTGACAGTCTGTAGTCTGTCATGGTCTTCAGACTGAATTTCAAGAATTCAGCCATTAGAAGCCAGGCATGTCTGGTAGCATTCTAGAATAGAAAGACTGAAAGTTCAACCCCAATCTTAACATCTTAGTGACTATCTCAGAAAAATTTTAAAAGGGCATGATGAAACAACCTGTAATCCCAGCACTCTAGCCAGGAGACTAAAACAGAAGAGTGGTGGTTCAAGATTTGAGCCCAGCTTGGACAATTTAACAAGTTAATGAAACCCTACCTCCAAGTAAAAAATAAAAGAGTGTAGCTCAATGCAAACCTCAGTATAAAACACACACACACACACACACATACACATCTCTAACCCACGTGTTTCCACTGGTTTTTCTCTTTCCTTCCTCCCTCCCTCCCTCCCTCCTTCCTTCCTTCCTTCCTTCCTTCCTCCCTCCCTTCCTCCCTCCCTCCCTCCTTCCTTCCTTCCTTCCTTCCTTCCTTCGTTCCCTCTCCCTCCCCTTCCTCCTCTCTCTCTCTCTGTCTTTCTCTCTCTCTCTCTCTCTCTCTCTCTCTCTCTCTGTCTCTCTCTTTCTTGAGACAAGGTGTCACTATGTAATTCAGGCTATTTTTGAATTTGCTTTGTAGCCTGGACTGGCCTTGCAGTAGTCCCTCTGCCTTAACCTCCTGATGCTAGGATTACAGGCATGTACCTGTGTTGTTAGCATTGTGTTGCTAGGTGTGGGAACACTAACCTGTAATCCCAGCACTTGAGGGGCTGAGGTAGGAGAATCACTAGGAGTTTGAGGTCAGCCTCAATTATGTGACAAGATCCTATTTTAAAAAGCAAAACAGGGGCTGGGGATTTAGCTCAGCAGCATAAGCGCCTGCCTTGCAAGCAGGCAGTCGTGAGTTCGATCCCTGGTACCGATAAAAAGGAAAAAGACCAAAAAAAAAAAAAAAAAAAGGCAAAACAAACCGGGCATGGTGGTACACTCCTGTAATCCCAGCACTTGGAAAGCTGAGGCAGGAGAATTGTTTGCAAGTTCAAGACCAGCCTGGGCTACAAAGGGAGCCCAAGGTCATCTTGAACTGCATAGCAAGACCCTATCTCAAAAAGACAGAATAAATAAAATAAAATAAAATGCAAAACAGCAAGCACAAGGACCTGAGTTGGATTCTCGGTACCAAAAAACAAAAACTGAAACAAAAAATTGTCCAATTGGAAGCATTCTAAGGTCCCATTTTTGCACCCTCCCTACCTATGGCTTTATTGGCAAGTATGTAGTAAGGCGATTGGGGTGGTGGGATCAGTGTTAATGTTTCTTTTTGCGCTGCTAGAAGTTAGCAGAAGTGAGTTCTATCTGCTGTGCTTGGCACTCAATACTAAAGACTCGCCTCTGAAGGTAGAGTGAGAGAGTGGATTTACCCTGAAATAATTGCAGCTTTCTTTTGACCCTGACATCAGACCTCTAAAATGTTGGACGCTGAGATGGTAATGGGTAGGTATTCCTTGTTTTGGACCCACCAGTGGATGAACATGAAATGCCAGACAAGTTAGAACCAGGAAATGGTTTTGGTTTGCAGGAAACTTGCCCTGAAATATCACCCAGACAAGAACCCTGATAATCCAGAGGCTGCAGACAAGTTTAAGGAGATCAACAACGCCCACGCCATTCTGACGGATGCCACAAAAAGAAACATCTATGACAAGTATGGCTCTCTGGGGCTCTACGTGGCTGAGCAGTTTGGGGAAGAGAACGTCAACACCTACTTTGTACTCTCCAGCTGGTGGGCCAAGGTGAGGAGGGGACTGGGCAGCAAGCTCCCAAGTCCTGAGGGCACTAAGGTACTTATTCATGCCTAGTAGAATTGCAGACACTAAGGGATCCTGGCAAGCCTGGCATACACCTATGATACCAGCTCTTGGGAGACTGAGGCAAGAGGATTGCTGTGAGTTCAGGACTATCCTGAACTACTCAGTGAGACAAAAAACAAAAAAGGGTTAGTGCATTGATGCGGACACGCTCCACACTCTATAAGATATGGTCTCAGGCTATAGCAGTCCTCTTATTTCTTCTGTGCAGTGGGCAGAAATCGCAGCTAGCATCGCTGCCAATATGCACAGCACACATCCAGCAAGGTCCATGCTGAGCCACTTGTACCAGGAGGGTTTCTCTCGTGTGTCTCTGAGTACTTAAGAAGGTCAAAGGGAGGAAACAGCCCTTTTCAGGATGACATGCTTAGACTTTGTTGTCAGGAAATGGAAAGATACCTTGAAATCTAACATCAGAAACGCTTGACATCCATCATTTGTTTTGTTTTTTATTAACTTTTTTGTTTTTTATTTGTCTACTGTATATAGTAAGTCCAAGTTTGAATTATCCCATGATTCTTAGTTGTAGCAAGCCCATACCTACCCTTAATGGTCAGCCCAAGCCCCCATCTATAAAATTACTGCTCAGTCTCCTGCTGTCCCTTTGAAAGACTTTTCTTTTATATCCTCATCTGAAAAGCATGCTCGTAGCCTGGAGCGTTCCCTCCGCAGCTCTTGTCCTGTCTAGGGAGGTCCCTTGCATGGTGTCCTGTGGGATCTTGGGAGGCCATGCAGTGCAGTGTTCTCTCCCTAGGCCCTTTTTGTCTTCTGTGGCCTCCTCACCTGCTGCTACTGCTGCTGCTGCCTGTGCTGCTGCTTTAATTGCTGCTGTGGGAAGTGTAAGCCTAAGGCCCCTGAGGGCGAAGAGACTGAATTCTACGTGTCCCCTGAGGACCTGGAGGCCCAGCTGCAGTCTGACGAGAGGGGTGAGTTCCTGCCCCAGGACCGTCTGTGTGTGTGGGGCACAGCTGGCATGGGCCCTGAACAGTGTCAACTGTCTTGTCAAACAGGAGGGCACTGACACTGTGCCGCGAGTGTTTGTGGTGGCAGCTGGGACTGTTGAGGTGTGAACATGGACACTTGAGGTAAAGCAGGTGCAGGGATCTGTCCCTGCCCATGAACTGTGGTAGCCTTAGATCTGAGGGAGAAGAGGTGGGGAGGGCAGACGGAAGGTGGGGAGGGCTGAGGGCTGGTGATGACCTGAGGCTACCGAGGAAAGTGTACTGGGTGGAGGTCACCAAGTAGCCTCTCCCCTGAGCATCTGTCCAGGTGGCCATGTGTTGTGACTCGAGGACCCCATTGATGGGCCGATGGTGTAGCTGCTGCCCTTGTATGATGAGACTGCTTGCTTGCTTTGCAGAGGCCACAGACACACCAATCGTCATACAGCCAGCGTCTGCCACAGAGACCACCCAGCTCACAGCCGACTCCCATCCCAGCTACCATACTGACGGGTTCAACTAAGTTCAGGAAAAGCTGTGATTAGAGGATGAATCAGCACCCAGCCACTGCAACCTTAGAATCATGAACTGTAGTCACCGAGATAGGGAGGAGTTGCTGACCTACCTGGCCGTGTCAGGCCCCTCCCACCTCCTCTACTCCCACCCATCCATCAATCCTCGATACATGAAGTGCGTAGCATGCAGTATTTAAGGCAGTGTAGCTACGGTCTTCTCTGTTTTTCCTTTTTTAATAGCATGTATGGGTTATGTTCAGTGTCTGTGTTGTGGACATGCCACGGCCTAGTTTCATTAACTGGACAGTGGAGCTGCCTTGGGGCTTCCAGTCAGGTTGGTCCAGGAAGGGCTGACTACAGCTGCCAGGTTCTACCTGGCCAGTTGGGCTAGGAAACAACAGGCCTCCCCTTGCTTCCTGGTGCCCACCAGGACTGGAGGTAGGTGCTGCCTGGTAGAGCTGCATCTCCTTGACCTTGGTGTCCCAAGGTGGGAACTGGTTCACACTCTGCTCCCTGGCCTGGAGGCTGTAGGCAGGGCACTGATCTCTGGCTGGAAAAGGAAGTGGGCCAAATCCTCCCGGGTACCACCAGCATCATAGTTATTTTAGCAATGTTTGTGTTATACACAGTTTGCACCTTATTTGCTTGGCTTCTTGGTGAAGTTTCTTCAGGGGATAGATCTGCTATGGAAAGCAAGAAACCTCCATTCCAAGGTGAACTTGTGCTCGGCACAGCATCTTTAGCCTGCGTCTCTGCCATGTGGACCGAGGTTCCTATCCTTAGAGGTGTCTCTCTCACCAGTGTGGGGAAAGTCGTTTGTCTTTGTTGCTGTACCTTTCTCAAGCCAACAACTGGATTGATGGGGCCATAGTCTCTTCTCTCTCTTCTGTAGTTCAAACTCCACATTCCTTCAGACTTACCTGTTTTTTAAATCTGTTTTTCAGTTTCTGGAAACTGCAGGTGATAGCATCTGCTTAGTCATAGTGTGAGGGTCTGTGAGCCCAGGTGGTTGATGGCACGTAGCTGCTTGTGCCTAGGAAGTGTTGTGTAGGTCTGTGGCCCCTGACAACCTCCTCTCTGTGCTTGCCAGAGTGTGGTGTCCCGTCTATGCCCTTCCTTACCCCCATCCCCACCTTCTTTACCTCCATGGTTCAGCAGAGCAAGAATATTGGGTTCCAGGTGGGAGGCATCTGGAACCAAGATGCCTCGGGAGAGTTGGTCCAAGGGAGGCTGCAGTCATGCCTCAGCTCATCAGCCAACCTGGAAGGTTAGTGCTGGATCACAAACCACTGTGTAAACCACTAGCAGTCAGTCTCTCCCTCTGTGCCCCACACCTTGTGGGTAATGCCTCAGGTCAGGAAGCTGAGGAGATGCAAACCATGTGCCCATACTGACCAAGGTTTGGAACCCCCTCTCCCGAATCTACCTGCCTGTGCTAGACCAGACTCCAGTGGGCTTTATTCCTACAGACCTTTCAGTGCCAGGCATTCTCTCAATTTCCAGTAGAGATGGAGGAAAAGAAGGCTCACATGGAGACTCCATGGCCCAGGTGACTTGTGTACCCCTGAAGGCTACTTTCCCTCCCTCCCCCCCACCCCGCCTGCTGATTCTTGGCCCCAGCTCACCAGCATATCTAGAGAGGAGGGTCAGGGTGACAGGAAGTGCAGGAAGGGACACCAAGGTAGGGAGGACAAACCTGACATGCTTCACAATGCCTCACTGGTTGGAAGTCCCCAGCCTGTCCTAGTTAGAACACAGTGACACTGCAGCCCCCAGCTGCTGTCCCTCAGGAGCTTGTTGGTTGCCAGCACCAGGTGCTTGAATGTGTGTGTCTGTTTTGCTCGTTAAAATGATCATGAAGACATTAGGAGAACATTCATCTACGATTTGTTAGAAATAATTTGGTAATATCAGACCTTGTGGAAGGGTAAGAAATAACACTGTTGGGCCTGCCTAGAAACAGGAGGTGAGACAGTGGATACCTTGTGGGCCAGCCCCAGTATGACAGCAGTGAGGGACTCTGCAGAAAGGCCACCTGTCAACCTTTGTCACTTCCTAGAGATCAGTAGAAAGTGAGTAGTTCTTCCCCATAATGGCCAGAAACCAGGTTCAGTGTGTAGAAAAATAAAAAGTGTGATGACCTGGCTGGGGGCTGCAGGAACAGCCATCGTGGACTGTAGCTCTGTGGCTCTTCCTTCCTGTCCCAGGGACCCCGGCCAGGTAGCTCTTCAGCTGGAGAGCCCTGGGTAGTGGCTCGGAGGGAGAGCAGCACTTAACTCCTGTGTCCTGTGGAGTTTGTAAAGCTAAAGAAATCATGTAGAATGTGTGAAAATGAACACGACAGTTGTCAGGATGATGACAGTGATTGCCCAAGGCCCAGCTAGGGATAACTCTGAATGCCAAGGTTGGGACTCCTTCCCACCACCTGATCTTGACGCAAATCGCTCTTCAGTGTTTCACTGTGTTGGTCTTAGGCCTGCCTGGTTTTGGCCCTTTTGATAACTAGAGTCTTGGGGAGTCAGCTTGTACCACTTCCTGTCCAAGTGCTAATAAATCAGAATGACCCCTGGCTCTCCTCAGATTCCTATGCTGATGGCCATAGCAGGCATCCATTCCCAGGGTACAGATGGTGCCAGGGTATATTGCCTGGACAGTGCTACAGCCGTATGCATGGAAGCCTGTCGCAGCCACAGGTGTCCCTCAGGGTCCTGGCAACTCTGGTCACTTCTAAGGTGCAGGAAGAATGTGGGAGAAACCTGTGAGGCCATCTCATGGGAGCTGCTGCTGCTGTGTAGATTTCTGTTTCTGCATAGTGATGTGATCTTTTCTTGTCTTCCTTTTGGCTTTATTCTATTTTTAAACTGCTTTAGATATTACTGCTCACTGTTCATGAGCCTTCCTAGTTCTCTGATGTTCAGTTAATATAGCCAGCACCCAGTGGGACCTGTTAGAAAAAGAAACCAGAGCACTCAGTGTAGTTGGCCAGAAACTTCATCTCAGTGTCGTCGGTTGTTGGACTTGACCTCCAGCACTAGTCAAAGAAAGACCCTGAATCACAAAATGTCAGTATTCCAGCTGTCTGACACCAAGTTCTGCTGGCAGCAGTGCCCATGGTCCTGCTGAGCCCATGGCAGTCTGTTCAGGGGAGCCCTGTGCTGGACAACATCCACCAGTGCACCTGGCTGTCTCAAGAGATGGTGGCCCTGGCACGCAGGCTGTCAGTAGAGGGTCCAGGTGCTGCGGCAGAACTGGGTGGATCTCCTGCCACGGGCCCTCAGCACACCTTGCCATGGAGAGGGTTTGTGAGAGGCGTACCAAGTGACTGATCTCATTCCTTTCCCAGTGTTCTGTGCCGTGAACCCATGTGGCCCAGGACCAACTTGTGTCTGTTATATTTTGCTCATGAATCATCTTCCTGTGGAATTGGCAAGAGCTACATCTTTACTGTACTCACAAGCACGGTTTGCGTTGTCATACGCTGTGAGTGTGGGCTGTGGTGTGTGTCTGTGTGTACATATGTGTATATGTATATATCATGCAGCAAGCCTGTCATGCTGCTGTCCAGTGGCTAAGCGACAAGTACAATAAAGTTCGCTCTCAAGTAACTCTGGTTTCTTGGCAAGTTGGGTGGGGTAGGGTCCTCCCAGCAGGTACACAGTGGAAAATTGAGCCACTGTGTGCAAAAAGTGCTTGTGCCTGAAAGCACGGCTGAGGCCCCATCAGCACTGGACCTTCAGGTTGTGGCTGTCACAAACATGTCCATCCTTGGGGGCTCTGTCCTGCTTCTCTGACCCAAAGGTATGGGAAATCTAGAAAGGAGGTGTCTGGAAAGCCTCCTCTTCCTTGAAACATTGAAACTACTTTTTTGAGCACTAAATGCAATCAGTGGCAAGGTTGTCTGTGAAGGGCAGCCTGGGCAGGGACTCGATGCTGACCAGTCCTGGGAAGGGGCAGAGGCAACATATACTCCAGGAAGGGCTGAGCCAAGGGTCCTGCAGGCAGCGTTTGGGAGATTTGATCTATAAAATGGGGCAGTGTTTCAACCTGAATGATGGGGGAGGGAATTTACACTGAAGCATATATATGCTATTTTTAAAAATGAAATGCAAGTGCCCGGAAAGCAGTTGTCCATGCACTGGTTTTACCTTGCTGCTGAAAACCAGTCACTCTGGGGTGCAAGCTGCTGTCGGAGCCCTGGCTGACTCAGACTCTTGCCTGCACGCCAAGGACCAGGCTGCAGGGCTCTGATGGTTTCGCATGGTGATCTCCGTCTTATATGTCTGAATGTTGACCTAAAATAAAGGTAACTGTAAATTAAACCTTTTCACTGCAGAGTAAGTGTCTTATTAGTGATACCTTCAGAATCCTCTTAACTGTCACAGTCTTACACTGAGGTGTCAGCTTAACTCTGACCCTTCCTGTCCCTGGTAGCTCATTTCTCTCCTACCTAAGACCCCTCCCCCTTCCTTCTGGCCCACTACAAGTATGGACACACCTCTGGGTTTTTCACCTCCACCCCCCCCATTTTATAAATACAAAAAATTGCATAATGACAGGAGCCTGTTAGCTAAGGGCCATAAGCTGACAGGTCCTGGAGGCCTCATCGACTGAAGCTACAGCTCCAGAGCCATGGATAGCCACACCCATACTGGGGGAATGCCCAGTCCTTGGCCCTACCATCCCTCATCCGCTTGGCTGACAGGCACCAGCTGCCCCTCCTTGCCCTCCACAGTGATTCTCCCCACCTTGCTCACACTGTTGGGCAGTGGCCATCTTGGCTGACCCAGATCCCAGGTGAGCAGGGGCATAGATCCAGAGCGGCTGGTGTGGATGCTGCCATAGACTAGCCCCAAAGACATGGTTGCCCATTTCCAGCTCAGTCTTCACCCTACAGAAGGCTCTGTCCTGAAACTGGCAGTGTAAAGTATGGTGGGGATGGATAGAGGATGTCCAGGCAGCTCAGCTGTGATGTGTGGCCACCCCTACGTCCGCTGGAGCAGTAGTCCTCTCAGCAGAGCTTGTGTTACAGCTTATCTGGTGGCAGCTTCATTTGGCCATTCAGATCTCCCAGAGTTGCCCTCCCCAGGGTACCCTGGACATGTGGCTGCATCAACTTCTGCCTGAACTGCCTGGGCTGATGATCCTGCTTTGTGCTGTCTGCTATCCCACACTCAGCGCTCCTGAAGTCACAGTCCCTGGGAGTGGTGAGACTGCCTGATAGCAGGTAAGAAGCAGGGAGTCCTAGCCTGAACATTGCCGCAGCCCAAGATCTCATGGCTGTTGTGCCTCTGTCCACCTCCAAGATAACCATCCAGTCCTGGGCTTCTGGAGGGGGTATCTTGCCCATGCAGGGCATCTGTCCCAGAGGTGCTGTTCTGCATACACTCCCAGACCCAGGAGGCCTGTAAAGTCTGGCCATGTGACAACTGCACAAGCCTCTGGTTGACACCCCTGCTTTCCGCTAGAGTTCACACTCCTCTCTCACCTGAGCTTCCTGTGGGTGGAAGTGCCAGGTCTTCCTGTGGCTCTGGTCTAAGGGTAGGACAAGGCAGAAAGCTCGCAGAGGTGAAAAGCAATTCAGTTAAACTAATTTTTAAAATGTTTGAACAGGTAACACCAGGCCTAAGATGAAGTAATTGGTTCACGTTTTTAATTTTAAAAAATTAACTTGATTGACCAGTTTGTGCCTGTCTCCCTAACGTGATCCTCCATTTCCATCCTTTTCTGGCTACCAGTCTGAAGTCTGTTTGCCAGGTACATGTGGTGCCTTAAGCCTTTAGTCCCAGCACTCAGGAGGCCAAGGCCTGAAGATTCTAAGAGTTTGAGGCCAGCCTAAATTACACAGCAAGAGCCTGTCTCAAAAAACTAAAATAACTCTTGTCCACCACTGTTCTGTAAACAATATGTATCATAAGTTTTTCATACAGTGTAACTTACTGTCCATTTATTTTGGTGCTAGAGGCCTAAATGTATATGAAAAGGGTGCTGGTGGTAATACTGATGATTGAACCCAGGGCTTTCACACTGAGCCACATTCCCATCTTTTCATTTTTTTTGAGATAGGATCTCAATAAATCTTTAAGTCTCCCAGGCTGGGGTCGAATCTGTGATCCTCCTCCCATGGCCTCGAGTGACGGGAAGACCACAGGCACGTGCCAGCAGTGCTACTTGCCCTGTACGCGCTCTACAGGTGAGTGCAGGCCCCAGAGGTTCGAACTCTTCAAAATTGCCTGGACGCAAGCCTGATGGCGCATGCTTGTAATCCCGGTAATCCAGGAGGCTGGAGCTGGAAGATGGCAAAGGCAGCCCCGTGCCCAGGCAGTTCAGCGAGACCCTGTCCAGGCGGGGCGCAGACTAACCCGCACGAGGACGCCTGCTTCCACGTTCAGTGCCACAGCCGGCGCCGGGCTGCTGGGCTTGGGTAGCTGCGCCCACCGCCTCCATCCACTTCAGCCTCAGGGCGCTGGGGAGCGGCCGCACAGGCGCAAACAGCTGCCTTTGGGGTGGCCTCGCCTGGGCCCCCGTCGCCGCGAGGCGCCCTGCCCTCGGCGCCCTGCGCGTTCAGCCTTCTTCCTGTGCCCTCTAGAGAATTTTCACTGGAAAATGAAAGGTTAGGATCCACGTTTATTGTTTTCGGCATTAGACATGTGGCGTCCTTACTGAAGCTCGACACTGTGAAAGATGGACATTCAAGGCGCGTGGCAGTGGGACTCCAACTCGTCATGAGACGCCCACCTCTCCTCTACCAGCGCCGCCAGGGGAGGCCTCCGGTCCAGCTGCCTTCCCCGGGGCAAAAAGGGCGGAGCCTGGAGGCCCAAGGCTGGAGGGGCGGGGCCTGGAGGGCGGGGCCCGGTTGGAGGGGCGGGGCCTGGAGGCCCAAGGCCGGGGGGCGGGGCGGCTGGAGCGCGGTTTCCGCCAGTTTGTCCAGCGCGCTTCGGTGGTTGCCCGGGTGCGGAACGGCGGGAACCCGCAGTTTTGCCTGCGGGACGGCGGCCGTGTAGTCTCTTGTTTGTGCCCAGTGGAGCGTGGCGGTGACCCTCTTGGGGGGGCCATAGGACAGGAAGGCCCCTAGACAGCCAGGCTGAAGAGGGGAGGAGGTGCAGACCGTAGAGCCCACACCACCAGGCCGACGGGAGCAGGGGGCCCTGTCCGTCCGGCGGCGGCAGCAACCCTTCCCGCCAGAGACACCCACGTCTGGCACCGGCGGTGTGGGGATGGGGCCCGAGATGGGGAGAGCCTGGGGTCCCCGAAGTCGCCACTGCTCCCAGCCTGTTCCCTCCCTGAGCCTCTCTCAGCGTCCATGTATCATGCAACCTGAGCAACTTAGCAAGAGCCTCTCAAGGTTCAACAATAAAGAGATGGGTGGGGCTCAAGTGAATCCCCTGCTCCCACCGCCCTGCACCTGACCTCCAGAGGCCTTTCTGGTTGCTTTCTGTCTGCCTCATGCGGGAAGCTGGGTGGCCCGCCCAGAAAGTCTCAAGCCCAAGCTTTTTCCTGGAGCACCGGAGCCTGCACTAGGCAGAGGGTGTGGGAGTCCAGACATCTTTGCCTGGTGATTTCCGGCTTTTGGCAGCCCAGCTCTGGCACTGTGAGGAGCAGATTCTCCTCTAGCTCATCCCAGATATCACATTTTCGTGGATCTGTGCCTTCTGCTGGACACCCTAGGCTTCCCCTCCCACCAAACCAAGGTACTTCTTGTCATCATGCGACAGCTGATGCTGGGGAAGGGGCAGCACCTCACGGGCTGACAAACCTGAGATTGACCAGGAGATGCAACATTCTCAGGTTGGACAGTCCTGGAGACACCACCCAGGGACAGCTGGCAGAACCAGACAGGCGAACTTCAGGAGGGACTCCGGTTCTACATCCAGCCCATCCCAGCTGCTGCTGGGTACTAACTGGCCTCAGTCCCATGCTGCCTGTACTGGGTCTCCCTTTATCCTGGGTGGTGACAGTCACTCCTGCACCAAGCTCAGAGGAACCAAGGTACCTGGAGGGCAGCACAACATGTTCTGGCCCCAGCCCCAAATCAGAACCTCAGCAGGCTCCATGGAAAGCTCTGCCCATGCTTGGGCTTGATGCCTGGCACTGCTCTGGTCTGAAAGTCCCCAGTGCCTGCAGCAGCTGTGTTATTCTCCAAGAAAGGCCTGGAGCTGCAGCCTGATTCTCAGGGCCCTCCAGTGGTTCAGGCCTCCTGCCTGCAGCATCTATTCTAAGCCCCCACTCACCCTAAGAAGAGGAGTGAAGCCAGGTGTGGTGGTGGACACCTATAATCCCAGCACTGAGGAGGCTGAGGCAGGATTCTTATGAGTTTGAGGCCAGCCTGGGCTACATAGTGAGCTCAAGACCAGCCTGAACTAAACATTGAGATCCTACCTCAAAAACAAGGATGACCTGGACACCGGTACATGCGCCTACTCAGCTACTTGGGTGGCTGAAGCAGGAGTATCACAATTTCTAGACCATCTGGACAATTTTGCAAGAATCTGTCTCTAAATAGTTTTTTTTTTAATAAAATTTTATAAAGAGTTGGGGATGTAGCTCATCACTAGAGCACTTGCTTAGCATGTACAAGGACCTGAGTGTCACTCCCAGTGCTGGAAAAAAAGGAGAGGAAAGGGTGTCCAAAAAAAAAAAAAAACCGTGAAGCAGGGCTGGGGATTTAGCTCAGCAGCAGCATAAGCATCTGCCTTGCAAGCCGGTGGTCGTGAGTTTGATCCCTGGTATCAGTAAAAATACAAAAAAAAAAAAAAAAAAAGGTGAAGCTCCCTTTTCCTAGGGCTGGTGGCCAGATGCTCCCCTCCTTGAACCCTACCACACATGCTTGCATGTGCATCTGGTCTGTGGTGTGTGTTGCACGGCTGCATGTGCCATGTGTGTGAATGGTAGGGTCAACACACACAAGCACACGCACGCATGGTTTCAATTTGTTCTCTGCTAGCCAGTCAGCCTGACTAAAGTCGGCTGGAACCCTCCTGGGAATGGCCTAGCCCTGCCCAGCTCAGTCCTCACCCAAAACCTGTCTGGAAGGAAGAGTACCTCCCCGGGCTGCAGGGATGTGTGGGCTGCAGGTTTCCAGCCCAAAGCCTGAGAGTGAATCAATGAGCCAGGGTCCTGGAGACATGGGAGGGGGTCCACTCACCATGGAGGAAGCCCTCCTGCTGACTTCTGAGTCCTATTTCAGTTCTGACCCCAGTGCCTGGCTGCCCCTTAGACAGGCCACCTGCTTTATCTGCAGGCTGCCTCCTCCTCCCAGCAATTTCCTGTCCCCGCCCAAGACAAGTTTTTCCATGACAAGGCCTTTAAGGGGGCAGGGCAAGGCGGCTGAGAGGTATGAACCAGGTCTGGATGGACTGAACGGGGAGTTCAGCAGGGTACCCACTTGCAGGTCCAAAACACCTGCTGGCAATCAGCACCTACATCCATGTGTTTATGTCAGTGTTACCCTGCCCAGGTAGGATCTACACAGAGGGGCACTGAGGGGGTGAGCAGAGAAGCTGGGCCTCATGCTCTGTAGAGTCCAGGTGTGCTAGGTTGGGCCTGGGGCTGTGTTCAACCCTGGCCAGGGGGACTGCTCCACAGAGGCCCTGGCCATGTGCTTGCAGTAGGGCTCTTTCCACTGCTCAGACCTACCCACAACTGCCCACATACTGACTTCCGCTGAGTCCCTTGATGGTACAAACAGATTGGAGGAAGTGGTCAGAGGCTGACTCCTGACACTCAGAACCTTAGGTGGCCCTGTATCCTTCCTTCCTGGGTCCAGGCTGGGTGGCTATCAAGCTGTGTGGTCTTAAGAGCCCTAGGCCTGGCCTCATCACCATCAGGCAATAAGCCCTTTACCTCAAGTGAAAGACTGGGAACCCCTGCCTCATTGGGGAAGGTCTAGGCACCCTTCCACCCCCTGTGGTGGCCTCATAGCTTGGGACAGGGTGGCCATCTCCTGCAGCCTGGGAAAGACTGTATATGCCCAAGTCCTGCCCAGAATACCCTCTACATCCCAGCTAATCAGTCATATTTTTGTTTTCTAAAGCTCTATTTATTTTATAAAATAGATTAAATTTTTGGTAATTTTTTAAAAAATTAAAATAAGTTAACATCTTTTCTTCTCCTTTTTTTCAGGATAGGGTCTTGCTAAATAGTTCAAGCTGGCCTTGAACTCCTAGTGATCCTCCTACCCTAGCCTGTCACTTCAATTAACGTTCTTTGCTTGGTAGTCCCAGGCAGGAGGGAGAGGGAAGTGGGGTGGGAACTGATGGCTTAACCCGGAAGGCTATCCTGTGGAGGCCACTTCCTCCTCATCACTGCCATCGGGGACTGCATCCGTCCCAAAGTATCGATCGCCAAAGTTCCCTGTTGAAAGAAGCAGCCCGGTGTGATGGAGCCTCTGAGGTCAGAGCCTTGCCCCAGGCACCAATGAGAAGAAGGCCAAGTAGCCTCACCGATGCCTGGGATGATCCGGAAAAGGTCATTGACACGCTTGTCCACCGCCGTGGTGATGATTCTCACCCGAGGGAATGCGTAGGCCACAGAGTGCACACCCATCTCCGCCATGAGCAGTGACAGCAGGAAGATCTTGTCCTCAGGCACATCATGGTCCTGGCCAGGGCAAGGGCCAGGTCAGCACAGTGCTGACCAGCCCACAGAAGCCCCTGTGCCCACACAGGTGCACTCACCAGGAGCACGCGCACTGCCATCATGGCCGCCGCGCCCGTGGACACCGTACAATCCATCAGAATCACGTGGTCATCGCTGATGTCCTTGGGCAGGCGCAGGTAATGGAGCTGTGGGCAGTGGAGGGGTGAGCTATCCCGCTGCTGGGCTCCCCAAGCCCCCGCCCTTCCCCATGGCCTCAGCACCTCTGGCTCCCCGGTGAGTTGGTTAGTCTGGATGAGAATGGTCCCAATGCGGACATCTTTGCACACAGCACGTAGCGCAGGCTCCATGGTCTCCCCAGCACGCAGGATGGACACACCTGTGATCTGGGGGCAGGAGGCAGAGTGAGTCCACCGCCCACCCTCGGCTGCCAGCCGCCCTGGCCTGCGTACCTGCTTCCCTGCATAACACTTGCCCGCGTAGTCCTGGCCCTGTGGGGTCTGCACCACACAGTCCTGTATGTTAGGAAGGAGCCAGGTGTCAGTGAGCACCAAGCCCCTGCTCCAGCCTCTACCCAGCCTGGCTGGCCTGGCCCTGCCCACCCCACGGGCAGATCCCCACCTGGAAAGGGAGGAAGGAGAGTGCATGCTCGATCAGCAGTCTCATCAGCCTCTTAGAATAGAAGATGAACTCGTCCCGGCTGGTCTCCTTGTCCCTGCCAGGTGAGGGCACTTAGCTTAGTGGGGCTGGCTTCTGGGGTCACCCCACCCTGCTCTGCCCCACAGGTCAGTGCTCACCTGATGATGGTGTGCATGCCACGTACTTGAGGTGTGCTCTTGAGGACACTCAGCGTCTGGGGAAGGGGGTGGCACTGGTGTGCTGAGGCCAGTGCGGCCCTGGGGACACAAACCAATTAGGGACACTCACTAATGGGCTTCTTATGCAAGGATCCCTCCTTGCCCTAGGACAGCTGTGCTTCACTGTGAGGGATAGCTGTGGCGGAAGGTGGCTGGCAGGGTGGGTGCTGGCTACCTGGCAGTGGCTGATCTGGGGAGAGAGCTCGGGACAGACACTGCCCTGAGGCCAGAGGACAGCAGCTGGTCAGGGGGCTAGGAGAGCACGAGGCTGCCCTCCAGGCTCAGAGGAAGCCACTGGAGCCAAGGCAGCGGAGGTCCCCAATCTCTCCTTATAAGATCAGCTGGGCAGTGGGTCAAGCCCTGCCTAGGCCCAACCTCCAGGCAGTGAAGACCCCTCAGCAGAGCAGGCAGAGGAGGCTCAGCAGGGCCCGCTGCCCCCCAGCCTAAGAGGGGACAGGGAGGCAGGGTGGGGGAACATGCAAGGGTAGGATGGGCACGGGGTGAAGACAGGAGAGTTTGGGAAGGAGAGCCAGTAAGATGGACTAGACAGGGCAGGCAGGAGGGGCTGTGTGGGAGTGCGGAGGGCTGGGAGAGAAAGCAGGGGTGAAGGGATGGGGCAGTGGGAGGGCAGGGGCACAGCGTGGTGGGCGGGAGGCACACAGCGCAGCACAACCAGAGCGCGCTCTGCTCACATATCCCAACGCAGCTTCCTCTGCTCGCCAGGTGAAGAGCGTGTTCAGGGAGGGAACAAGGCAGGAAACGGGTTTACACAGAGGAAAAGAACAAAGAAAAGACCACTTAGTGGGGAGCGCAGCAGTGTCCCTGCAGATGGTCCCAGCCAAGGGTAGAAGTGAAGAGGCCAGGATGCCTGCTTGAGCTCAAGCACCCTTCCCTCCTGCCGCTAGCCACTTCCTGTGGCTGAAAGAGGCAAGGGAGGTACTGGCCACCACTTCCTTGGGAGACCAGAGAATGGAAAACGGAGCTGGCCATAGCCTGGAAACTTCTTAGAACGAAAGCTTCAAGACGGACCTGACAAAAGGCCTGCAGTGCCCAGCTCTTGGTGAGGGATAAGCAGAGAGACATGCAGGAACGGGAAGCAGGTGGCAGGAAAGGGCCCTGGAGGCATTTCTAAGCACCCCCAGGGGTGAGTCAGTCAGAGCTTCCCAGCCCCCCAGGACAGCCTGCAGGGAGGGCAGGGTCCTGGTGCTCACCTAAGGCTCAGGCAGGTGCTTGCTTATGGCCTACCATGTTCATCTAAGCACTGCACTAGGAGATGAAGGACAGAGAGGGATGCGACACAGCCAGGAAGGATGAGGGAGGGGCCGAGGCCTCGCCACCGCCAAGACAGTGAGGCTCTCTGGGTGCTGGGGACACATCTCTGGTCTCTGGGGCTGGGTCCTATAGACAGAAGGCTCCACCCAAGTGAGCCAGCTGTGTGATCTAGGCTAAGTTACTTCAGCTCTGTGTCTCAGACTCCTTATCTGCCTACAGGAAGAAGCAGGAGCAGGGCCACTTTGCTTCTCAGTACCTGCCTGGCCGGCGGGTACCAGCTCATCCCTGAGGCCCCATGTGGATGTTGGAAATGCCTCCGTCTGTGCAGACAGTGGTAGAAGTCTTACCTGACGCTGAGTTCACGCTGTGGCAGCAACACAAGGAAACACAAGGGAATGGGTGATGCATCAGTGACCAGGGCAGGCACTGGGCTCCCCCAACCCAGGAATGGACAAGCCACAGCCCTGTGGGGAAATGGCCCAGGCAGCTGCCAGCAGTGGGAGGGGTGGGCTCCTAATGGCCTGGAACCTGGGACCATTTGGGCCAGGACCGGTGGTTCTGGGTCAGGGCAGTGAAAGACAGGTACCCAAGGCCCATTCTGCAGGCTCCAGGCCTCCAATAGTGTAGTAATCATTGCACCAGTAGCTGAAGGACAGAGACCATGTCCAGACTTGAAGACCAGCCACCAGAAGCCCCATGTGGCTCCTGCAGCATCACTCACAGAGCAAACAATGCAACAGGAGTTACTGACCCATGTGGAACTCGGCACTGAAACCCCATGGCTCTAGGCCAGTGAGGCAGGGAGTCTCTTGTTGTCCCCAGAGGGCTGGGAGAGACAGGACTGTGCCCTTCCATGCAAGGCCATTCTTCAGCTGTTGGCAGGTAGTAGCCAGGCCCTTGGCTGGGCCTGAGACCTGTGACCCCAGCCAGCATGTGGGGCTGGGAACTGGGCTGGGGGACCAGGCTGACAGAGCAGGCCCAAGACTCTCAGGCTGGCATCTTTGTGGGATGAAAAGTGTGTCGGGCAGATAGCACAGGCTGCTGTGGGTGGCAGAGCGGCAGGGACTCAGCTGTATGTGGCCAGCTTACCTCCTCCAGCTGACTGTGCACATGCTGCACGATCAGGTCGATGGCCACTGTGTTTCCACTCCCTGGGCAGACAGAGGAGCACAGCTCAGGAGCTGGGATGCCTACCTGCCCAAGCCCACAGCAGTGACCTGGCAGCCTCACCTCTGGGCACCACAATGTCTGCCAGACGCATGGTTGGCTGGATGTACTGGTCAAAGGCAGGTTTGACAAACTTGTTGTATTGCTTGATGACACCTTCGATGTCCCGGCCTCGCTCGCTGATGTCTCGGCGCAGCCGCCGCACCAAGCGGATATCAGAGTCTGTATCCACAAAGATCTTCATGTCCAGGAGCTAGATGAGGACAGAGAGCCAGTGATCGAGCTGAGCCCTGCCCAACAGGGCTTTCCATCACCCGCAAAGCCAGCACGGCCACGTGAGGTCAGCTACTGCTGTGAGACCTCCCAGTCCGTGTGTTAGGTTTGACCAGAAGCAGAGGCAGAAGTGTGCCTCCAGATGTATATACAAGAGGTGTAGGGTGCTTGTGGGTGCCGAGTTATAGGTATGTAGTTGGGGCATGTAGGTCAGGGGTTTAGGACAGAGTTGAGTTGAGCAAAAACAGAGCTGAGCAGCATGACACACACTTTGCTCAGTGCAGCTCCTATGAATACTGGAGGACTTGGGACTTGATAAGCTTTGGGTGTGGCCCCATCACTTAGCATATGACAGATGCAGGCAGGGTGCTGCTGTGTGCCAGACAGTGGCATCCTCTGGGTCCGAGGCAGGGTCACGCAGCCCATAGGAGCTACACTAAAGCCCCACAAACTCCTTGGCCATTAGTCTTCCTGGACTGCAATATGGAACAATATGAAAAACAGATATAGGCACAGGACTTCGCAGGTGGAAAAGGGAGCAACTGCCCTAAGCGGCCGTGCCCTGCCACGCTGCCCAGCAGATGGACTCAGCTGTACCACGCCTGATGCATTCCTGCAAATTTCTGGGGCTGGGGAGAGGACCTACTCAGGCAACAGAGTGAACAGCCTTGAGAACAGGTGGCAGGGCCTAGAGGAAATATGTTTAAGGCTCAGGGACCCCTGCATGGTGAGTGCTCCTACCAGGTCCTCACCTCCAGCAGTGTCTTGTCAGCAAAGGCCATGATGCCTTCGAAGATGATGACATTTGCACCATAGAGTGTTTTCTGCAAAGGAACCCAGGGAGTTTCAAGGCCCAGCTCACACCTCTGCACCCCTCTCTGCAGCCCTGGGCCTACCCATTCCTTCTTGCGGCTGTGGGTGGTAAAATCATAGATGGGAACTTGGACACTCCTGCCCTGCTTCAGCTTCTTGAGAGTGGAAATGATGAGATCGAAATCAAAGGCATCTGGGTGGTCAAAGTTGAAGTTGTTGCAGGCAGCCTGCTCCTGCTGCTGCTGTGTCAGCACCTGTGGGAGCCACCCAATCAGGAGGGTTTGTGCTACAGTCCCCTGGCCCTGCCGAGGCCCAGGGGGTCATAGGTCTGCATTTGCAAGGAGCACAGAGGTCAAAGGGAAGATGAGGGGTGCTCCAGGGAGCTGAGCAGTGCCTCACCTTGTAGAAAGAGTCCATAGACAGCAATACCACCCAGGGCACGTCGAGTGCCTCGATGATCATCCTGGCCACAGTAGTCTTCCCAGAGGCACTGCCACCTCCCAGCCCTGCCAGGGAAGAAGAGCCCCTCTTGATCAGATCAGGTGCAGTGGGGCAGGCTATGCAGATGGTCCCAGAGGTGCCCCACCTATATTGCCCTCACCGATGGCAAAGGCCTCCTTGGACTGAGTGCCATGCTCGTTGTACCATGGGGGCCGTCCTGCTGTGTAGATGGTACGCTTGCTTGTGCGCAGCAGGGGTGGCTCAGACTTGCACTGGCTGGTGGTACGCTTCCGGGGTGAGCGCCCAGTACCCACGGGTGGAAGGAGTCTGTCCAGGGACCCTGCATTGCTACCGGAAAGAGAGACACACTCAACCTAGTGCTCCCTGGTATAAAAGTTCACACTCAGAGAAGGGGTCCCTGAAGGAACAGGCCTGGCTAGACAGGTGGCTCAACTGGGGTTTACACAAGAATGGACATGCAGCTGATCCCAAAGAGCCTTAGACCATTTGTCCACAGAGTGAGTACAGAAAACAATGACAAGAAACAGGAAGACTGGGCCACATCCCACCTTCTATGTGTACTGGCCTGGGCGCAGTCCTATCCTCAGGGAATGCGAAGTGGGAGCTCAAGACAAGGCGATGCTGCAGAGGATCATGCCTCTTCCCCAAGCCAGGCACTCAATGAGCATCCCACGCACTGCTCTCCTGAAGGGTAGGCACCCCAGGACACAGGAGGGCAGTGCAGTGGCAGAAGTGAGGTCAGATGCCAGTGGCAGGATAGCCCTGTGCCGGATGGCACCCTGCCAGGCCTCACTAGCTGTCAGAGCATAGGACAGTTGCCAAGAGGAGACCCTATAGCCGGGCATGCCTGTAATCCAGTGTTTGGGAGGCTGGGTCAGGAGGGTCCCTGAGAGTTCAAGTCAGTCTGGGCTACACACTAAGTTCAAGAGCAGCCTGAACTATACAGAGAGTCTCAAAAAACAAAAACAAAAAAAGAGACTCTAGGCTGGAAGTCCTACCAGAACTCAGTTGTTCTCACTGATTCCTGCTAGGTCCCCGAGGTAGAAACTTCAGCATCCTATAAACACCTCTGGGCCAACTGCAGAGCAGAACCCTGAACCATCCTTGGAAAAGGGGGAAGTGCCAGGTGGAAATTCAACCCAAGGACAGCTCAGACCTGTGCCCATGTCCATGGGTACCACTATTCAAGCTGAGTTGGCACTCAGCTTCCTGCTGATTATCCAACTGATTTGTGTCCCCAAAGGGGTGCCATTTCTCACTGTAGCCTCAAACCCTGAGAGGGAACAGCTTTTTGGTAGACCCAATCAGCTGCATGACACGCCTACCTGCTCAGTCTGTCCTGAGAGGTACAGCCTCATTGGAAGATGCTGTGGAAAAGATGCCCAGGCTAGGCAGGGGCACTGACACCATATAGAGAGGGAAACTGAACTAATCCAGTGTCATTAGCACCATCTTTCAGGCTGCCCAAGGGGCTCTCAGGGGCCAGTGGCTTGGCCTGGCTGGTCATGGACTACTCATGTTGGGAATGACTTCTGGACCAGGGTCCCTTTCTGCACAGGGCAGAGCCCCTGGCAGGCAGGACAGACATCTACAGAAACAGCAGGCAGAAGCTGACTGTAGTGATACACCATACCTGTAGTCTCAGCACTTAAGTTTGAGACAAAATTGGACTACAGAATGAGATCCTGTCTCAAAAACTGAACCCAAACAACACAAAAATAAGTAACCAAAGAAAAGGAAAGGAAAAGGCAGAGAAGGAGAAGGAAAGGAAAATAAAAGAGGAAAGAACAGGTAGGTGTGCGTGGCCAGCTCCTTGCAGGGCGCTTCCCAACGCAGTGTCACTTGCCCACTGTGGTCTAGAACTGCACAAGTGATGAACACTGCAGAGGAATACCAGGTGAGCCCCGGAGCACAGCTAGGTGAGAAAACCAAACTAAGAAAAGATGTGATTCCATTTATGAAGAAATGAGCACATCAGCCAGGTATGGTAGCACAAACCTGTAATCCCAGCTAGTCCAGAGGCTGAGGTAGGAGAATTGCAAATTTAAATTCAGTCTAAACAATTTAGTGAGACCATGTGTCCAAAATAAAATTAAAAGAGCTGGGGAAATTTAGCTTAATGGTACAGCATATGCCTACTATGTGTGAGAGATCCAGGGTTCAATCCTCAGACTCACAAAAACAAAACAGAATGCTTCACCCAACATGTGAAGAATCATCACTGGAATGTGCTTTCAAGTCACTGCCTGTGAGCACAAAGAAGTTAGAAATGGACACTGCTCTGGGCACCTGGATTTGGAGCAGAGACTTCTTCCCCATCCAATGTGTAGAAGTACATGCCTTGTTGCTATTGCAAGCCATTGCCTGCCTGGGAAGGAGGGTATCCTGCTGCCTCTGTGGCAGCTACTTCCCTGAGGCCACACGGTGCTCCCCAGGGATGGCACACAGAGGCCATGGACGTGGGGAGACAGAAGCTCTGGGACAGAAGCACCGTCTCCATGTGTCTGCGCCTCCCAGAGTGCCATAATGAGCACAGTCCAGGTATCTACTGCAGTGGGGGGAAGTGGAAGGAAGGCACTGAAGCGCGAGGCATGACTGTTCACACTGGAAGCTCTCAAGGCACATAGCAACATGGGCACAAGCCTGAGCAATAAAAAGATGACCCACCTATCTGACAAGGAAAACACACTGCACTTGTTCTCAGGCACAAAGAGACAAGCCTGGCTTCTTCAACACTGCCCACCGGAGGAGAGCCTGGGGAGTAATTAGCCCATCTGCGGGGTTCAGTCTCACCTCTGTTGCCTTGGAGCTCAGCACTGGCACTGGCAGCAGGCTAAGCACAAACAACACAGCCAGCTACCAAATGGCCAGGCAGGGAGCCAAGGGGATAGCACTGCTTCACAGTGCGCCAAGATGGGGGCGGGGGTCAGGCATGGTGGTGCACACCTGTAACCCTGCTTTTGGGAGGCTGAGACAGGAGGATCACTGTGAGTTTGAGGCCACCATGGGCGACAGTGAATGCACAGCCATCCTGAACTCCAGAGTGAAACCCTATCTCCAAAACAAGATGGGAGAAGAGCCACAATACCATGAGTCTTCTGAGAGGCTCCACCACACCCCCACTCAGCTTTGCCTGGATGGCCCTCCGCCAAAAGGAAGAGAAAGAACTCACGAACAACCAGGCATGTCCCAGATCCCTGGACACAGTGCAGCTGCATGAACATGGGGCACATTAATCCAATTCACAGTACAAAAATGGGTCAGCCAGGCCCTCGCAATGGACTGCCCCTCCCCACAGCTGGGGGTGACAGACCCCTTCCAGCTCTAGGCTTTGGCCTACAAAGGCAACACAATCCCAGAAGAAAGGGCAGCTCTGAGTGACCCTCAAGGCCACAGTGAGCAGACAACACAGGCTGGCCCCTCCTCTCTATGCTTCCCCCTGCAGCTGCAAGAAATCATCCTTTGCCTCAAGCCGGCACAGACCATTTAAATGGGGGTAAGGGGCAAGGGCCACCTAAAGGACACTCCCAGAGCTGCCTGTGGTGAGCTCTGGACACTAGTGCTGAGTAGTATAAAACAGGACCAACTTGGACAGATGCTTGGCAAGAGTCAGGGGCTGGGGCTGTCCCTGTTCTCCTTGGTCGTCACTATACAGCCCGTCAGTAACTCTTCCTCACTATACTGAAGTCACTACCACCACCACAGTTCCCCTCTGAGACTTATGCTGCTGAGTCTGGTGCAGACCTGCTGGGAAGATCAACCAGCTACAGATAGACTACAGAGGAAACCTGTCTGACCTTGCTTTTGATGGACTTAAGACAATGCCAGACTGGGTCCTCACCAAGCCCAGCTCTGCTGTCTCACAGGAAGTACCCCTAGAAAAAGAAAGTTTGCATATAAGACCTTGTTTCCCATCCACAGATGGACAAGGGTGTGTCTGACAAAAATTAATCTCAGCTCAAAGGATTATGAGCCACAACGAACATAAGACACCTTCACAACCCACAACTCTAAGCAAAATCACGCCTGCGGCCTGAGCTGTGCCGGCTCCCCAGAGTGTCTGCCAGCCTGTTTGTTTTCTGATATCCATAGACACGCACTGCATGAAGGCTGCACCACACTCTGGTACAGAGTGGCTGGCACCACTGTGAAGGCAGACAGACTCTCCTTCCCAGCAAGGATTTTGCTGCGACTCACCTGCTTTCCGCTCCAAGGGCCCAGCACCCTGAGATCCTGATGCCAGGGTAAGCAGGGGGGCTGCTCATGGCTAAGACTGCAGGGGGCACAGGGATCCTGGAGGTGGGTGCTCCTGCACAGCGAGTGAAATGGTCCCAGGAGTGTGTGGCTTGCACTCTGGCAATTAGGGGAGGCATCACATCCTCTTAAATCCACAGCAGCTTCCCAAACAGTTCAGGAGCTTTGGCCACCTGAGCTAGCTCTCCATGGATGGAACAACTCTGATGGGCAGCAAAGCAGGTAAAGAGCCAGGTGGGGCTAGAGCCCTGGTAAACAGAGGCTGTCTGCTTTATGCAGGGAGTCGAGGCATACAAGTTGGGAGGTCCCAGGAACCCAGCATACTAAAGTCACACACTTGCTGCTGGCTTCAGAAGCCAAAGCCACAGGCATAAGAGGATCACCCAGCTAGGTCTCACGCGCCAGATATTAATAGCACAGGTTTTGCCTACTGTGGCCTGCACAATCCCCAGGGCAGCCTGCATGTGGACTGCCTGCCTTTTCCCGGGCTCACAGGCTTGCCCTGCCTGGGGCTTTCTGGGGACCACTGTGCTCCAGCACCCCTCCCACAATTCCCTGAAGGAAGCTCATTCCCTACCTCCACCCCACTGATAGGACAGGGAATCTGAGGTCCCTCCTGTGACCAGGTGACTTGAATACTAGTGCTGAGCTGGATGCCCCACCTTTGGCTCCAAGGTGCCTCCTACGGGCATAAACAAATCTGAAATCCTACCCTCCAGCAGAATCCAAGAATAACTGCCCCACCCCCACTTCACAGAGGCTCTAGCAGGTCCCTGTAGCTGTCCAATGCTCATCAGCCTGTGGGGGACACAGCCACCTCCCTGCCCACAGCAATGGGAAGGTGGAATGGAGGACCTGACCCTACCCTCAACAATGGTGGAACAAGTAAAAGCCCCTTACCGACTCTGGGATCTGCACTAAGAGGCTCTGGCTGACCCCAGGCTACCTCCTGGGGTCGGAGGATTATGTGTGCCAGTACCCTCCTGCTGTGGCAGTCTTGTGACCAGCTGGCGTTGAGACAGGGGCTGACCAGGGCTCAGGGAAAAGGAAGATTGCACACGAATGTCACACATCTGAAAAAGGGGGTACTCCTGGGATCTGTCTTGAAGGCTGCCTGTCCTGACTGCACAGGTAATCGATCCTGGAGCCATCTGCCTCCCCTCAAGAGGGACTTGGAGCAAGAGCACCACATGTGGCTGGCTGGGACCTGGTCCATGCTCAAGGAGGTTGAAGCTCCCTTGAGAAAGGGTGCAGAGTTGGGCTTCCACTGATCCGTCCACCTGCACTGTCTGTGCAACAGAAGGGGAAATCAGCCTGGATAGCCTGGCACATTTCCTGGGTACCTCAGATGGCCAAGACCCCTGGCTGGGGCCAAAAGCTACAGGTGTGTGGGAAACCCCGCTTCCATGAGGGGCCTGGAAGAAGACCTGACCCTGACCTTGATGCACAGCTAGGATACTAATAGAATTACCAGGTTCCAGCCACACAACAGCCAGCCAGACCCACTCCCCAGTTCCTGACTCTGCCTCCACCAGTAAGTCCTTATGCCTGGCAACAGAGAGTAAGAAGAGCTCCCATTGCCAGCTCCACCCACCCAGGTGTTAAGGCCCTTGCTCAGCAGCCACACCTAGAGCCTGGCTGGCTAAGCACCTTTGCGCAGATACTCTCCCATCTCAGGTTTCCAGTCTCCTGTGTGACTTGGGGTCATGGCATGGTTCAAATATGGCTCAGACTCTGCCATCATCCACCCCAGAGCTGTGGCTGGCCTCTGTGCCCTTCTCGAGGGCAGCAGCAGCACTGCAGGGCTGAGGACCAAACCGGTTTCTCATTGGCACTAAGGGTCCCACTACAGTGGCACTGCGAGGACACAAGCACAAACTCAAAGTTGCCCTGCCAGAGAGTCCCCAGCCAGAGAAATCACAGTTCAACATCTGCAGGAAGGACTGTGGAGAGGAAGGCTTGTCTTGTAGACCGTAAGTGAACAGAGAGGTCTCAGAGAACTTATGTGGTGGCGCAGGGCTGTGCTGGGTCCCACCAGCACAGCTGCTGCTCCCAGGCCCCACACTGTGCCATTGCATGGTGTATGGAGTAGATTTGGAAAACAGGAGCCAGTGCCCAATCTTGGGCTGTAGAAGCAGGGCAGGGTAGTGTTCACAGGGTCCATGCAAGGCCAGGGGCCCAACCTGGCACTGTGGGGCTCATTTCCCAGTGGGCTGCTGCTGTTTGCCATGCTGGGCTGATGGCCAGCCTCCCCGCGCCCAGCAGCCTGGTTTCCATTGCATGCATGGCCACCAAAGGCCTTCCCCGTGCCTCACAGGCCCCAGACTGGGGAGCCTGGCAGGCACCGTGTCTGTGAAGGTGCCGCAGGACACGAGGTCCACCTTGACCCACAGCATCCCTAAGAAGATCTATCTGGGTCTCTGCTCCTGGTTACACCAAGAGCCCCTGGACTCTAGACCCGGACCGCAGCAGCCCGCTGCCCGCCCAGTGGGAGTGGCCTGAAGGGCTGCCCGTTCCAGAGATGTTCCTGTGCCACTCTCCGCCCTGGGTGGCTGAAGGCCGCCCGGGGTGGCCATCAGACCAGACCCGGAGGTGCAACCTCCATGCCACGTGGCCTGGCGGCCACGGCCTAAACATACCACAGCATGTGACCAGCCTGGTAGAGACGACTTCCTCACAGCTACTGCCCTCTCTTCATGCTCTGAGAGCGCCGCCGCCCGGCGAGACCCTCAGCCGGAACTCTACCCTCTCGGAAGGTTCAGCGCGGCGCAGAGCTCAGCTGGGTGCTCAGGGCCGAAGGCCCCAAACCAGGATGCAAGCGGCGGCCACCGCTGCCCCCCATTCGAGCCTGGCAGGCCACCTTGCTCCCCACTTTCTCGGGGGGGGGGGGTGCAGACACATGGCTAGGGCCGTAGAGAGCCAGGCACGCTGTGCTCCTGGGCAGCTCCGCCCGTGGTAGGGGTCCGGGGTCCGTGCAGGGCAGGACTTGCCCCGCCGGGGTGAGGCCCAAGGGCGCTGGGCTCTGGGACTGCTTCCCTGGGTGTACAGGCGCGACCCCTCCCCACCCCGGCGGACTGAAGGAGCGCGCGGCTCCCGGCCGTGCTCGGCCGCGCCTACCGGTCTTCGCTCACGGCCTGGCTCTGCTCTGCCTGCCGGCCCAGCCCGTCCGGGACCGCAAGGGGCAGCGGGGGTGAGGGGGCGGCGTCCGCGGAGGCCGGCGGGGCAGCCATGGCTCCAGGAGAGCAGGCAGCTGCCAGGAGCGCCTGCACGAGCTCTGGGCGCCAGTGGACTACGAGTCCCAGAAGGCTGCGCGCGCCAGCGCGCCCGCACCGCGGAGGCCTGGTGCCTTAGCACAAACTCAGCCGCAAATATGCCCTGGAAAAGAAATCAATAAACATTTATTTGATACAGTCATTTCTAATACATACAGTTAATGGCCTGCCCCCCCCTCCGGTCCAGGGGTCAGGGCAGGGCCGAGCTGAGGATGGGGACAGATGGTCACGAGGCGGGCAAGGCCCAAGCTCACTGTCAAAACATCTTGCAAATAAACACTTCGTAGATAGAATATATATGTGTGTATATATAGTTACAAGTGATAGCTGGAACCGGTCTTTCAAAATGCACTTGTGTACTGAGAACTGCGTTAAAAAAAAAAACAAAAACAAAAAAACAAGATACCTAAAATTTAGGACGCATGGCCTTTAGGCAGAAGGGGTAACTCACCAACCCTCCTGAACCCAGACTCAAAGCAAGCTGCCTGGGCCCACCCACCAAGGCCTCGCAGGGACACCTGTCTCCTCCCAAAGTTTCCCTTTAGAACCACTAAAGGGATAGGGAGGCCCTCCGGAACCTAGGACACACCTTCATCTGCCTGTGCAGAGGCAAATAGTGTATCCCATTTTTGTGTTGAGTATCAGTCCCTGGGGCACTTTTCTGTTCGGGCAGGGCTTGCACTGAGCCAGAGGTAGATCTGCAGAGACCTCAACTGTCTCATTTTGCCAAGGTCCATGCTCATCAGACCCTGGGGGTCTACCACACTGGTCCCTCTTACTGAGCCTGTCTATAGAGGTCAGTGGTCACTGGGCCCTGATTGGGATAAGGGCAGAACGTGCCCAGGGCCCTACCCTCTGGGCAGAGGACTCTATAGACCATCTTAACACTGCCCCTCATCAGCTAGTGTCAGAGGGAAGGAGGGAAAGAGGGAGGGATCCGACCCAATAGCCACTTGTGGCAGCACCACCCAGGCCCACTTCAAAGACAAGGGAGTTAAAGTGCTAAACATCAAGTTATCCAGGACCCCCATTTCCCATACCAGGAACTACCTGTGAGCTTTGAGAGGAGTCCTAGAATCTCACCCCCCAGCAAAAAATAGGCCAGCCTCCTCCCTTCAAGTGCCAAGTACCTGAGAGGCTGGGGCTGGCAACCAAACCCTGCAGAAAGGTGTCGGGGTTTAACCACCTTCACCATAGGTAACAAGGGCTAAGTGCACCAGAGCCTTCCCTCTACAGCTGCACACCACTGCAGCACTCAGAATACTTATACACCAGCCCTCCTGCCCCAAAGTCCCAGCCTACTCTTTGATGCTGGCCCATACCTATTTCTGCCTAGCTGCCATGCCCTGAACAGGACCAAGGTGTGTGGAGGGCTAATATACACTCTCTACACCCCACTTTGTGCTGTCCAGTCAGCCTTCACAGACAGGAAGAGCACAACACTCCCCAAGCACTCTGGAGCTGCTCTCCCTACAGTAGGCTGAGATGACCCAAGGAGATTCCTCCGCCCCTGCTGGGAGAAGAGGTACCCAGTCAATACAGCCCCCTGGACAGCAGGGGTCTGGCCACAGTCGGCCCAGCTTAGGCCCACCTTCGGCACCAGGAAACCCTTAGCACCAAATGTCAGATTGTTGTGAATTTTTGTATAAAAAACAGAATTTAAAAAAGTTGTTACTTGTCACAGCAACAAGACTGGCATCCACTACACCCAGGGGACACGCACACAGGCAAATATCAAATTCACATCATCCAGGGTCAGCGAGGCTGAGCCTTCAGCCCACCCCCACCCCCCACTGGAAGATGGTCTCAGTCTGAGTTCCTCTAAGCATCTTCCTCCCTGTACCAGTGTTGGAAGGTGTGGCAAGGGAGGCAGCCAGAGGCTGTACCGACACCTCCTCCAGGAACCCTGGGGTCCCTGCCTGTTGCTCAACCTCCAGATCCTCCTGTCCTCAGAGCCCCAAAGGGCAAGACACAGCCCTGGAGCTGCCACCATGTTCATGGCCCCTTCACTCACTGGCCTTCAGTTCCTACATCAAATGACCATGCCACCAGATACACAGGAGCAGGTAAAGGGAAAGGCAGGATGACTTCCACAGGAGCTCAGCCTCTGGGCCAGTCCTGCCTGGTAGATGGAGGCTGTCTCCTAGGGGTGACTCCTTATAGCTGAGCCTCTTTTGCCCAGCCCTGGCCCCAGGGAGACAACTCCAGGCCACAGGCCACAGGCAGACAGGCCAGCCTTCCTCTATGTGCCTCGGCCTCCAGCCCCTGCCACCCTGCCAGTGAAGTAGAGTCCTTCCCTCACCCCCAGCAGGAACTGCTGAGGACCATGCAGGAAAGCTCCATCACAATTACACACAGGTCAATGGGGTGGGCCCGGAAGCACAGCAGGGATGACATAGATCTTAGATGAGGGACGGGGGCTGGGGTGTGGGTGGGAAGAACAGGCCCACAGAGGTAGAAAACAGAAGCAGAGGAACCAGAGTGGGTAGACTACGGCAGCCAGGTGGAATCAGGTCAACATGGCAGTGGTCAGACGGGGTCTGTCCTGGGAGGTAGCTGGGGTACTGGAGTTCCAGTGTCAGGTAGAGGTGAGGCCCAGATGGTAGCAGCTGAAGCTGCTCAAGTGCTCTCATCAGCCCAGAGCCAGAGGTCACTCACTGGGAGGCTTGGAGAGCCAGGGTAGGGACATAGCTGGGCCTGAGGAAGTAGAGACAGGGGCCAAAGGACTGTGATGACTGCACTGCATCACCAGTGGCACCAAGGCCCCTTCCCCTGCCAGGCCTGTGAATGTACTCCCAGAAAGGGCTGGCTCTCAGCTATTGCACTTCTGCTCCTGCCCTGGCACCCTGGGAGAGACCACTGCAAGTGAGTCCCAAGCAGCCTGAATAGGAGAAGGGAAGAGTTGCTGGCCATTCCCGCTGGACAGATGGTGGGGGATGGATGGAGGTCGGGAGGTCTACAGCTGGTTCCTTTGAACTGGACAGAGTGGGGCTTGGTAGCCTGCATGGGGGCTGGGCCCTACTGACTAGGTTCACTTTTCAGTTGTCTTGCCAGCCCCCACCTTCCGCCCAGTGGAGCCCCGAGCCCCCTTGTCTCTGCCTCCCAGGGACCAGTCATCTCGGCGTGGGGGCAGCTTGGGCACTGGCTCCTCAGGGGGCCGTTCCTTGGGCTTTCGGCCCCGCTTCTTCCCGCCCACCAGACTTTTCTTCTTTTCTCTCCTGGGCGATAAGGAGTCCTGGCTCCTATGTTTGGGAGGTGGATCTGCTGAGGTCCGGAACCAGTTCTGGGAAGAGAAAAGCTGCAATGAGGACCTGGGACCCTGACCCAATGCTGCAGACCTAGCTACCTACAAGCCAAGCAGCCAATTGCAGTGAAGTGGCTGAGTGGCAGGGTTCCCACCCAGAGTGGCTCTTGTTCAGGGTACCAGGTGAGGGCAGCCCGCCTGTTAACTCTTCCATGTGAGTAGGATACCATTTTGAGGAGACACTCTCAGACTTCTTACCACTGGTTACTTGCTCAAACACAGCAACCACTTGGCCCACCCCTTCCTCATCACACTGGCTCCTGGTCCAACTCCCCACTTCCTCAACCCCCACCCCCAGCTGCAGGCGCTGTGACTCTCTCACCTCGGCATGAGTCTTGAGGATGTGGTACTTGACACCACTCTCAGAGCTGAATTCTTTGGGACACAGCAGGCAGTGGTACTTCCCTACTAGGTGGTCCCCCTGCAATACATGGGCAACCTAGAACCCAACCCTCAGAACACCAAAGCCCTCACCCATTGGTGAAGGGTCAGGGGCACCAAGAGGAAGCTGTCTGTGCAAGGGTAGGGGCCTAATAAGTGGGCTCTAAAAACTCCCAAAGCCACTCTGCAGTAGGACCACTGAATTGTGCAGGCCAGATCAGAAGACAATAGGAAGAGGTGGCTACCTCAGAGAAGTGTTACATATCTTTGTGGAGCACCCCTTCCAGCCCCCACAGTACTGAATACTGAATTCAGGGCCTTTGCACTGAGTTAATTTTCAACCCTTTTTCTTTTCTTAAAACATGGTCTTGCTAAATTGCTGGATTGCTTAGACTGGGCTTAACTTGTGATCCTCTTGCCTCAGCTTCCCAGAGTATTGGGATTACAGGTGCATGCCATCATGCCTGGTTCGCTGAGGGTCCTTATCCCAAGCCAGGGCGCCTTCTTCCCTGGTTGGGGTGACTACACTCACACTGATATATATATATATATGAAGCCCCAAAGACTGGGCATAGGACTGACTCATGGGTACACAGGGTAGAGTCTTGGGTCACAGGGTAGAGTCTTGGCCCACTTGTATAGCACTGGCCAGTCTCAAATCATGCATAGGGGCAAGGCCAGATCTCATGATACTATAGGGACCCCTGACAAAAGAAACCTGGGTGTGCCATGGGAGGCTTCAGAACTGACCTTGCTGCAGCTGGCAAGATGGGCCTTGAGACCAGACACACTGGAGTAGATGGCTTCGCAGCACTGTAGGCAGGAGACAGCAATGGGGAGAGGTCCTTCTGAGGTGTCTTACACAAAGGTGCACTCTGCCTTAGCCCGAGGGAGATCTTGGGACCTCTTTGGGGCACATGGTGGGGTCTGACCCCAGGAGTCCTGAGGTATGGCAAATTTGGCATATAAGGCCTACTGTTCAGGCCTTTTCTGTTGGCAGGGTCTCTATATGAGGACCTTGCAAGAGCTGAGAATCAGAGGTGAACTGGTCACTTTGAGGATAGTCACCTCCTGACAGGTCTATCTCAGACCCTGCTGCTACCAAAAGGCCATACCCAGGCCCTCTGCTCTGGAATTGCCCTTCTTCCCCCACCACCCCCACCACTTTACCCCAGCTCACATCATTGGGGCAGTTCACATGGCCTTTCTCTTTGACTTCGTTCTTCCACACTTCCAGCAGCTGTGGGTTGAGTGCAGGGAGGCCTGGCCGAGTGTAGTTGAGCTGTAAAGCCAGGCACAGCACCAAAGTGAGCCTTAGGCCAAGACACCCCTCTGCTCTGAGACCATGTGCCTCGATGACAGGCTATCCGGCCCCTCAGACCACGTCAACAGAAAAGGAACAGGGCTAACACAGGGAGTTCTGGGCTGAGGCAAACCCTGCTGGGAAACCAGCAGGCTGGGAGCTCTGAGGAGCAACCAGGGTATGACCACAGCCACAGTGCGGCCTGTGTATTCAAGTAGGTAGCTCACCCGTGCAGACTCAGGCACAAGGTCGTCCTTCATTCGCCGCTTGGTCCAGTCACGGGCCAGCTCATCCTCTGCAATCTCCTGCAAGTGAAACACGGCAACCTGGGCCGATGTGCGGCGAATACGACCGCTTGGGGTCCTTTCCACACCCAGTAGGTCCTCTGCCTCAGAGGTCTTGTCCATGGATTCCTCAGGGGGCTACAGGGTGGAAACACACGAAAGACAAGATGAACCACAAAAGTCTAACAGCCAAAGAGCAGTCTGTGAGTCAGGGTCAGTGTGAAGTATGGGCCATTCATAGCCCCTCAAGGCACAAGGACCCAAGGTACATACAAGTATGCAGGGGGCATGAAAAACACAGACAGCTCTGGGCTCCCAAGTGCCCACCTTGTGACCCACAGGACACAATAAGTTACTGTGGGCAAGGATCATACCCATCAGAAGGCATATTGGCATGCTGACACCTAGGTGGCACATAGCAAAGAGCATTGTGCCATAGCACAGGCTACATGAGTACCATGAGGAAATGGGGGACCACAGGCTACTCACCGGGGCTGTGTGCTCTGAGCGCACGTGGTAGTCATGACCTGCCTTGGAGCGGTAGGTCTTGCCACAGTGGGTGCAGGGGAAGGAGGGGCTGTCCACCTCACAGGGTGGCTTCCCGCAGCGCCGCTGATGGTACTGATAGCCCATGAGGCTGGAGAAGGCGGCCCCGCAGCCCTGGAGGTCCAGGTCAGAGGTCAAATATGTGGCCAGCAAGGTGTTAATTCCTGGCCCCAAGCCTGTGCCCTTCCACTGACCTCCTGGGGACAGCGAAGCCGACCCATCTGCTTCAGCACCTTGCGCAGCCGCTCTCGCTCTTCCTGTTCGCTCCCCTCGGAAGCTTCAGCATCAGTAGGCTGGAGATAAAATAAACCTCAGACCTGATGCCAGCCGAGGGTTTGGGGCAAAGTGGATGAGGGTCAGGTGGGGAAAGAGCAATGGAAGAGGGATATGAGGTCAGGTGTCAGGGCTGACTGGGGAGCCAAAGGCCACGGAGCATACCTTGGCACTGTGCTCGGCCATGGTGTGGTAGTTGAGGCCAGCCTTGGACTTGAACTGCTTCCGACAATGCTGGCACTTGAGAGCATCTTGCAGCTGTGGACACAGGTCAGGCATTCGAACCACAGTGAGGGCCAAAGTCTGCCCTCTCTCCATGCCCCCTGGCAGCCTTACCTTTTGACACACCTCCATGTGCTTCTTAAGTCCCACCAGTGTCTTCCGGGTTACCACATTGCAAGTGGGGCAGATAGCCTCCCCTCGCTCATGGATGGCTCGCTGCCACTGCTCCTCAGGGCCACCTGGAGGAAGGGTCAGGGCTTCACATGCTTGCAGAGCTCCTGGATGCCTTGGACACTGGGTGAAGCACTTAGGCACCACAGCTGGCCCCCACGCCTGTGTCACAGAACCCACCCACCATGAAGACCTGCCCTGGGTCCCTGTCAGGTGGCTCCCACCTGGGGCAGGATGGGTCACTGGAGTTGGTATCTCCTTGCTGACAGGGATGGAGGTAGCCGGCACCTTCTTGCGCATATCCTCAGGGCCTGGCCCCTCCAGCTTCTTGGATCGGTGAACTCGGGCTTTGTCCTCCGCTTTGACTAGGCCTGTGTATACATGCAGGGTGGGATGGGGAGCCATAGGCTGAGAGCCCTTGCATACTTGTGGACCCACCTGATCCTGGAGAGGCTGAGCTGGCTGGGGTCTCACCTTTGAGCCCAAAGGTCCCTGAGATGGATGGCTGCTCCCCTGTAAACTTCTTGGGTGTCTTTTGTTTCCTTCCTGACTCGGGGGAGAGAAAACAGAAAACAAGATTCTGGTCAAATAACCATCCAGAGGCCAGAACCTGCCCTAGCTGCTGCTCCTGGGACTCTCATCTTACTGTGTTTTGTGCGCTCTGGGTCTTCCTCAGGCAGGGACACAGGGCCTGTGGGCCTCAGCACCTCCTTTCCCATTGAGGGTCTGCTTCCCAGCAGCAGGGAGCTATTGCTGGGGTTCGTGCTCAGCTGGAAGGCCGCACTCTGGCCTGTGGTAGATGGACCATACTCTCCATTTTCGGGCCTGGCCTGCTTGGGTGGGATGGGGAAGGTGTCCAGGCTGTCTGCAGCCCTGCAGAGAGCAGAGGTGAGGGCCAGGCAGGCTGGCCTTGGCCCTCAGCCATAGGCGTACCCAAAGGGACACCCCACTTGCAGTAAGCTCCTGTACCTTTTCTTACTGCTGCTCTTCCCTGTGGCACGTGGCACTTTGTTCTCAGACTTGGTCAGCAGCACCATTTTGCAGGGCGGTGTGTGTCTGCTGATGGCAACAGGCCTGTTGACTGGTACTGGCTTGCTGACCACAATGGGTCTGCTCACTGGCATTGGCTTGTTGACGGGCACAGGTTTCGTAACTGTCACAAGCTTGGTGACTGGCATGGATTTGGTGACTGGCACAGGTTTGGTGACTGGAATGGGCTTGGTGAGTGGCACAGGCCTGGTGACTGGCATGGCCTTGGTAACTGGTATGGGCCTGGTGACTGTGACAGGCTTGCTGATGCCAATGGGCTTGCTGACTCCCACTGGCTTTCCAATGGTGACCGGTTTGCTCACTCCAATGGGCTTGCTGACTCCAACAGGCCGGCTGATGGTCACTGGTCGGCTGACTGGGCCTGGCTTCGGAGTAGGCAGGGGATGATCCATGTGATTCCAAATCCGGTGTTTTTCCAGCTGAGTCTTAGAAGTGAATGCGGCCTCACAGAAGGGGCAAGGGAAGGCCAGCCTATCTGAAATGGCACCCTGGGCAGGGAGAGCAAGTGTGGGAGGGGGCCCCAGAAGCCTCTGCCCAGCCATATCCCCAAGACACCTCTTCCCCAACCCACAGCCTCTTACCCCTTGGCACCGTTGGTAATGGTACTTGAGCCCGTAGATGCTGGGGAACTCCAGCCAGCACCCTGAGTTTGGACACTTCACCCTTGAGTGTGCCTTGAACTCATCCTTCCATTGGTTCATAAGGGAGAGCTGGGCATAGGGAAAGGCTGGGCTGCTGACCCTCAGCCACCCAGGCCTCTACCAACCCGTGCTCCAAACCCAGAGCCCTCCCCAGGCCTACAGGACACAGAGGTCACATGAGACCTTCAACCTAGGCATTGCAGCAACAATTCAAGCCCTGTTCCAGATCTATGCTAGGGGCCACTGACATGGTCCATTCGATCTCACAGCACATAGACAGGAAGGTCCCAGGCCCCAGCCTGAAACTTGGGAAGGGTTGTGCAGTGAGCAGGTTAAGGGCAGGGCACTGGCCTCCATGGGCAGACCTTGTATAAGCCCCACCCGGGCTCAGGAAGCTCACAGGAATGTCTCGGAGGGCCTGGTTCTCAGCTTTCGGCCGCCCCTTTTTCTTTCCTTCTGTCCGGTCACTGGCTGGACTTCCTGGGTCAAAGCAGAGTGGGGCTTGGCCAGGCACTGTCTGTCCACTGTGGACCACTGGCATCCCTGTAGCACACAATGCAGCAGGACTCAGGGACTGCACAGGATCACCAGCTGCTGAAGGCTTGCAGGCCTGGACTGAGCCCTGGCCCAAGACATGGGGGCAAGGGTATGGCAAACCCAGGACAAAAATCCAGGCTCTAGGCTCCACCCAAGGCTTCTACCCTATGAAGGCCCTGAGGCACTCACGACACCAGGGAGGTGGCCTGTCTTACTACTGGCTGTTCATGACCCTCTGGAATTGACTTGGGCCTTGGGTCCTCACCCAGCTTCGGAGGGTCCTGCAACATGGGAAGCTGAACCTCTTTTCGGCTGCTACCCTTTCCAGGTCCACTTTTGCTGGACCCCTGGAGCCGGCGGCCTCCTCCAACACAGAAGGGATCAGTCATCTCTGTGAAGCAAGTGCACAAACCTGTGAGGCTCAATGGGGCTCCATAGGGCTGCCCTAGAGCTTTTCCCTGATAGACCCTCTCTCTGGCCAGACAGGAGACCAGTCTTCTTGGGTCTGTCACATGGGAAAGCGAGTGACAGAAGGTATGATCAGGGTGGAAGGACACCCTCCTTCTGGCACACTCAGTCTCAAGGTGTGCTGAGGATCAGTAGCCAGGGCATGTCCCCAAGGAGAAGTGGCCTGTACAGGAGGAAGGAGGCTGACGACATTCCTCTTGGGGGCCAATTATGGCACCAGGAACCAGTGCTGGCTCTCAGGCTGCCAGGCCATGGCACCCTGGGGACATATTCTTCCTCAGGGCTCTCAGCCCTCTCAGATCCTAAGCAGCAACATCCTACCTGGGGAGCCACCCCTGGATCCTTCTTCCCAGGCACACAAGACAGCCAAAGTCCCCAACCCCATGAACTTCCTCTCTCTGATGGGCAGACTGCAGACTTACCTGCATCTCATTCTGGTCCCCATGCCTGTTGACCATTCTACCTGGCCCTTTTCAATCTTGTGCCCAGCAGAAGTCCTTCCACCAAATGGGAGACCTCGTGTTCAGCTGATCTCCCTGTCTCCTATCCTCCACCACCTCAGCCAGTGGGCCCATCTCAGCTAAGGAACTTACAGCCAGCACCAGCTGCAGAGGCTCATGCTTGAGCCTGCCAGGCTGTGGCCAGAGAACATCCTGCGGCCCAAGGAGCCTGTTCAACGGCAAGATCCCAAGCCCTGGGAGCTGAGGAGCAGACAGGGGCTCAGAGCTTAGCCCTGTTCAGTCCTCTCACCAAGACACCCAAAACCACTAAGGATTAAGGGGGCGGGACCAGGGAGCAAGGCCTGAGCCTACTGATCTCTTCTGTGACAATTTCTGATCAATCCAGATCTTAGGGTGCAGGAACAGGCTGCCATGTCCAGGAGGACAGAATTCTGAAGTCAGGACAGTCCCTGCCCACTGGTAAAAGTGGAGAAGCACATATCCTGAACCTAGGAGGTGGGAGGGCCTGAGGTCAAAGTCCTCAGAAGTCCCCATTGTATGATCCAAAGGTGACAGTGGCCGTGAAGTCACCCAGCCCGACGACCCCAGGGCCTGGTGCAGGTGCTTGCTCAGTGCCCGTTCGGCCTTCCTACAGAGTTGGGGGTCCGGCTGGCGCAGTCCTGCGAAGGACTCCCTGGCGCGGCCGCACGGGGCCTCGGGGAGGGGCCGCCGCCGCGCGCGGGCCGCGTGAGGCCAGGTCCGGCCAGGTGAGGGCGGCCGGGCGCGCACCTGGGCCAGCGGCCACCCACCTGTCACCGCGGGCGCTGCGGGCCTCCGCGGGCCGGAAAGGCCGACCGCGGCGGGGGGGGGAGGGGGCGAAGGCAATGAACCAAAATGGCGACTTTTTCTGGAGAAGGAGGAGGCAGGAAGACGGCGCCGGCGCCGGCGCGGGGCGCGGAGCGGGCGGCCGGCAGCAGGCGCGGCGGGGCTGTGGCCCGGCTGGCGCTGCAGGGCGGGGTGTGGGCGACGGGTGCGGCGGGGCGGTCCAGGGCGCTTACCTGCGGCGCCCAGTGGGGCTGCGGCCGGGCCGGGCCGGGCCGGGCCGGGGCGCGGGCGCGGGCGCGGGGTCCGGGCAGCGCAGGCTGCGCCGCGCTGCGCACATGCGCGCTCCCGCCCCTCCCACCTTTGACAGTTTGATGCGGGGGAGGGGGCGAACTCTCGCGGTATTCCTGAGCCGCCGCGCGGCGGGGAGGGGGCTCTCGGGCCCGCCTGCGCTGCCTGGCCTTCGGGGCCAAGGAGCCTTCGTGTTGTTCTCAGGGCGAGACGTGTTTTGTGGGCAGTGGGGTAAACTGAGGCAAAGGCGCCGAACAATGTCCTGAGTACTGCGCGCAGGAGCGAGGCACCCCGAAGCTGGCCTGTGCTGCTGGGGCAGGTGCAGAGAGAGGCCTGTGTGCTCTGGGGACCTTTCTTCCTCCCGCCCCCTCAGAACTAGCAGGGCAGGTTCGGACCTCCCTCCATTTGGGCCTGTGGCCACTTTTGTTACTCTGGTTACTGTCCAAACCCTGGAGCTTTATCACAGATCATTGGCTCGACCACCGCCGTAGACCAGCAACCTGAGCCTTGGTTCCCTGCACTAGAACCTGCGAGTGTCAGGTCTGCAGGCTGCATGCAGCGCCAGCCTACAGGAATGAATGAAGCTTAAGAGAACTGTGAATCTCTTCCGTGGTGGGACTGGGCTGCGGCATATACTGCCTGGAAAAGAATTAGAGAATGCTGGGTCCCCACAGGATGCAGGCAAGGGGCGTGTATCTCTCTAAAGAGATCTGTGCTCACTTACCCAAAGCACTCATCTTCCCTTGAGATTGAAGAGGAGATCGTGAGTTTTATTTTGGGCCTACAATATTGTTGAGATTTTTCAAATCATGTGCATATGTTACTTTTACGACTAAATCTAGCTTTTAAACATTTTTAAAATCTCTTTTATATTCCACAAGCACTTTGGCCTCCTCAGAATTGATGTGGGATAGAAACTGCTAGGTGGGAAATGGAGTTACAAGACATAATTCTTGGGGCTGGGGATTTAGCTCAGCGGCATAAGCACCTGCCTTGCAAGCAGGCAGTCGTGAGTTCAATCCCCAGTACCGATAAAAAGGAAAAAGACAAAAAAAAAATTAAAAAAAAAAAAGACATAATTCTTTCCTGGGGCCCTTCTTGCTTGGCTCATTCTGCCCTGTACTCCGTGGTCAAGCTCCCCTGCACTGCTTGAAGGCAAGGCAGAGAAGGTGTCAGCAGATTTGGGGTCCACTTCTTCTCAGCGCAATCTTGGGATCTGCTCTGCCTTTGGCCTGTGTAGAGTACCTACCTGAGACAGAGATGCAGTGCTGGGCCCTCTGTAGAGGGGTTCATTGGTGAGTCCTGTGAAAGTCTGAGCCAGAGACAGGCCAGTGTGGATCCACCCAACCCAAGTGACCACAGGAAGAAGGGGAGGAAGTTGCTCAAAGCCAAGGAGACATCCTTTCCTCTCTTTATGACTATCCTTACCCTGGGGGCAGAACCAGCAGGATGTTGAGAGGGGTCAGTGTCCCTTCCCCAGAAGTACATTCAAGGTTGTCAGCGTTCCACAGTGGGATATATCAATCTCTATAGACAGATATGTGTCTAAGTGACCCTGTGTCTGGAGCATCCACATTTGGACAACCCAGTGTCATAACATATCTGAGTCTTATACTGGGTGAGATCAGTGCTTGTTTGTATGTTAGTATGTTAGTATGACAAGACAGCAGAGTACTTGGGTGGGGTCATCTAGATCACAGCCTGTGCATTTAGGCTGTGGTGCATCTGTGTGTCAGAGTATAAGGGATCAATTGTTTTCTGTGTGTATCGAATGTCATAATGGTCTATGAGTTTGTGTGTACTGTGGGTGTTGTATATGAATTTGTATATCCTCTGTGTTTCTGTGTGTTGAAGGGGGTTCACTGTACAACAAACAGTATTTGTACAACAGTATTTCTGTGTTTGGACACTGTATATGCAGGAGTATTATTTTTCTTTGTGGGTATTGGGTTTATGTGCCTGACCAAATACAAGTGTGTTTGCGTGTGCAGGGACATGTTGGCTCTGGATATCAGCATTATTGTGTTTCTGTTAGTTCCTATTTGTGTATCTGGTTGCTGTGTGTGGTGTGTCAAAGTATGTGCTGTGGTCTGTATGCCATTTATGTCAGAATACTGCTCTGCGTAGGAGGCCAAATGGTGAGTCTTAAGAGATAATTAAGTCAAATCCATGAATCTGTGAAGGGACTTCGTAAAAAGGTTATTTGCAAATGTGATTAAGGCTCCTGATCAACCTGGATTACCTAGGTGGGCCCTAGATCCAAGCATCCTTATAAGGAGGAAACAGGGGGCTGGGGATTTAGCTCAGCGGCATAAGCACCTGCTTTGCAAGCAGGCGGTCATGAGTTCGATCCCCAGTACCAGAAAAAAGAAAAAAAATGGAAAAAAAAGAAAGAAAGAAAAGGAGGAAACAGGGAGATTTAACAGAGAGAGGAATGATGTGACATGGAGACAGGCTGCAGAGATGTGTCCTTGAGCCAGCAGACCTGGAAGAGGCTAGGAAGGATTCATCTTCTCATCCACACAGGAGGCTGATCCTGCTGGATTTCAGAGTTTTGATCTCTGGAATGGAATCCCTCCTTCTCCTACTTCCTTCTTTCGACCCTACTGTCTCTTTTATGTTAAGGATTGAACCTGGGGCTCACCACATGCCAAGCTTGCATTGTATTACTGGGCTATGTCCTTAGCCCCTTTCTGTTGTTTGAAGCCACCAGTTTGTGACCTTTTGTTAGAATAGCCCCCAGGAAACTCCTACGCCAGTGTCTGGACTGTTGCTTTCAGTGTGTCATGCATGTTTTGTTGTCCACCACTGGGGTGCCCTTCATGTGTCCCATTTCAGGTTCCTCATAGTGCCCTAGGCTAGCAACAGCCCCTCCAGGACAGGACACCACTGCCCCCTGGTGGCCCCCAGGGCAGGCTGCGGGGCTGGACACCCCCTCCTAGACCCAGAACCGTGGGTACTTGAGAACTAGTTTATTTCTGATTTTTTGTCAGAGTATAAAAAGTGAACAAAAACAAGGAAGACAGTAGCACGGGATGGGCAAGACAGAGTAGGGAGAAAGGGCCAGGATGGGCCCTCTGGCTGAAGGCTGATGGCATGTAGAGGGGTACTTCAGGCAGTCAGACCCAAGATAATGATTCCCGTGGGTGGGGGCACAGAGCGTGGGAGATGTCAGGCCAGTTGTCCAGATCTCACCTGGAATCTACAAGGACAAGCCTGCAGAACTGAGGCCAGCTCAGGACATAGAGAGGACGCTGGAAGCTCAGCCTTACTTGTCCCTGAGACTTTCAGAGTCCCTAGGGCAGTAGGAGAGGCAGAGGAGCAAGATGCTGGGGACTTCCAGGGTCACCCTCACTGTCCCTCTTCTGGGCAGCACCAGTTCCAAATTTTCTACAGAGGGCTGCCCAAGCATCTGGTGGTAGACACAGTCGGGGTAGCTCCCTATATTCTCTCCTGTGAATCAACGTTTGGGGAAAGGGGTAAGGGGAATACCCACATGCACAACTGCTACTTGAAAGTTAAGTCCAAGAGCCAGGAAATAGGGAAGATGCTTAAAAGCAAGACTCTCTTATAGGCAAGGACAGGGGCACCATCAAACCAGTGGATATTGAAAATGGAGCCTACATAGGGCTAAGTCTTTGTTGTGCCAATTTACTTTGAGGACTGGGCATCTTGGGACTTTCAGCCTCAGTTCTCAGAAGTAGATGTGGATATAGAAAAGGTTTCGTAAATAATGAGTGAAGTTTTAGTAAGATGCCCAGTGGGGCAGGTGCTGATGACTGTTCCTCTGGACAATGGGTTGGGCCTGCTGGGCTCTAGCAGGGGTGGGTGGAAAACACAAGCCAAATGAAGCTGACGTTTGTTCCACTATGCAGCTGATATGGCAGTGCTGGGGAAGACACAGAATTGGAAAGATGCCAGGTGCAGGGTGGTCACATGGTTAAGAGAACATAAATAAAGAGACTCCCTTATAGTCTGGGGTCATTCAAACCCCACTCTGGCTCCAGGAAGCTGACCTGTGGCATGCTGCCAGCAGCACCAGGGGATGAGCCTGGAATCAAGTCCCTGGAGGGGGCCACATGCAAGTGACCCATGCCCATCTAGCCCCAGGGTACAACCTGGAGTGCCTGACCAGAGGCACCTGGAGGTGACAGTCTTGGTCCTGCCTGTCTGCTGGGCCAGGCTTGGCCAACAGGGCATCATGCAGGGTCCAAGATCTGCAGGGTCAGCTCTGCCTCATTCTTGGCCGTGGGTCTTGGTCACTGGTCACAGTGCTGGGGTCTGGGGTTCAAGCCTTGGCAGCAGCTAGGACATGTTTCCAAAGGAAGCTGTGGGGTGAATGGAGGTAAGCAAGAGGCAGGTCCCTGTCTCATCCCAGAATGGCCTTTACTGGGTCCCAGCCACCCGCCTTACTCTGGCAACTCAACCTGCACTCTCAGCCCAGCCCCCCAGGCCTCTGGCAATCTTGGCCTCTCCCACTGACCTTGGCTGAGCAGTTGCAGGCTCCGCCCCTCCTCACGCACCTGCAGGTGGAGCACCTGCTGCAGCACCTCCTGCCTCTGGGACTCCTGTGCCAGCCCCATCCGCTGCAGCTTCTCTGCATTCAGCCGCAGCAGAGCCCGGCCTGGGGAGAAGGAAAGGGCCCAGTGGAGGCCAAAAAATGGTATAAAGGGCCATTGCAGAGACCAAGAGACAAAGGAGTCATAGGCAGTCTTAGATATGTAGAGAGACTTGGAGAGGAAGGCAGATGGAAAGACAAGCATGAGCCAAAGACAGAAGCCAAGCAGAGAAGCCCCAGGTGACAGAGGGGAGAGAGAAAGGGGGGGGCAGACATGCACAACAGAAGCCCCTGAGGGGAGCACAGGCAGAGGTGGAGACAGGCTGGCTGAGTGGGCATAGGTTCTCCTTTGGCTTCCCCGCCCCTGCCCTACATCAGCCTCACCATACCAGTGATGGCATGTTGGGAGAAGGCCTCGACGTAGACGAGGTAGTTGTGGGGACAGTGTTTCTTGAGCCACTTGCAGACGTCCTGCTGGCTCCACAGGACTACTGGCCGTGTCAGCCCGCCCAGAGAGGGGCTTGTGTGGTACAGGCCATAGTGGTCAGAGTACAGCCGACCCTGCAGGGGAAGGATGGCAACTAGCAGAGGACAGCAAAGCAGGAGGTGTAGGGGCTGAAGTAAGCAGAATGGGTGGTACCTGTGGGGTCTCTGTACCGGGCTGCTGCAGGAGCTTGATGGGCCTGCTGCTGGATGCCCTCTGGCTACGGGAGTCGTGCCACGTGAGGCTGGTGCCTGGGGTCCGAGGCAAGTGGCAAGGGATGCTCTCAGCTGACACTGTGTGCTCCAGAAGCGTCCGGCAGAAGCTGAAGTGGGCAGTGGCTGTGTGCCAGGTACCCAGTTAGTGCTGGCACACAAGCCTCACACACACCATACTAAGCCAGGGCAATACCCACAATATGTGTTTTTCATGGAAGAGGCCAGCTCCTGTCCTGGGATGCTCTGTGGCTGCTACCTACCTGTCATTACTGAAGGTGCCCAGTCTCTACAACCATACTTGATATTTGTAGCTTGACCTCTGCCTTGCTGTGTTCACCAACTATAACTCACTGGCAACAAGCCTGAATGCTGGGCAAGCAAGTAACTATGACTCCCCAAACACATGCGGGGCTTTCCTGCTGTACTGCCCCTGCAGGGCCTAGCTGGGAAAGCACTACATGATCCCTAAGTACCTACTGCCTGTGGACTGTTCAGGACCAGTGTATGGAATGCAGCTACATTCTAGGGTATTTGTTTTCCTAGTTCAGGTTGGCCACAAACTCACTCAATCCCCTGCCTCAGCCTTCGGAATGATTACAGGCATATGCCCCCATGCCCAGATAACCTTATGTTTTAGCTTTATGGTCATTTCTGGGATCAAGATGATTTGGACCTGGGAAGGATTAATGGTTGGGTGGGACTCTTTCTATCAAGGTTGCCATTACTAATGAACACGTGCCCAGTTATGGGGCTGTAGGAGGTAACCCATAAGTCCAGTGCATGCATGAATGAATGAATACACAAATGGAATCTCTGTGTAGCATCTGCAAGTCATTTGTGGGAAGAAGCAAAGGTAAAGGTCACCACACACACACTGACACTCCCCTAGAGCATCCAGGCAGGATGAGTGCAGATAGAATGGGGTTCCCATGCCAGGATCCTTGCCCATCTCCATGCCCATTCTGTCCCCCTGCTTAAAGGAACTTCTCTTCCAGTCAGCCAGTCACTCTAGGCTGGGGCCAAGTCTCTGATGTGTCCAAGCGGTTTGAATAATGGGGAAACCCATATTATCTTCCCTTGTGCTTCCACCCATAAGGTTCCTGACGCTCAACACCCTCTTTCCCTATTGCAACTTTCAAACCAAGCTCAAGTGATTTTTAATCTGTGGTATAAGGTCAGGTAGAGAGTGTGGCCAGTGTGGCCACGTCCCTCAGGTAGCCTCTAGTGCATAGGAAAGGATTTATTCTAAGCCTGCGCCTTGCAGAGGACAGGCAGGGTGGTCCCAAGGCTTTTTGGGCTTTAGCCGGCAGGATAGGAGTAGCGCTCCGGGGAAACCACTTGGCACCTGCTAAGTCAGCGGGACGCCCATTTCGCGCCCGATCTCTGGGAGGGTCGGAGAAGGAAATGGGGTGGGGGTGCCAGGTCCCGGCTGTGACCTCGGTCCTTGGTCCCCTTTCCACCTCAATGCCAGCTTTGCGTGAAAGAATGATCCCAGTCAAAAGACAGAAACCCTGGCTGGTCGTCTTCCACCCCAAACCAAAAGCACACTGGTCCCCGAGGCCTGACGCTGGTCACCCCACAGCGCAGGACAAAAGCCACCGGACCCCGTGGGGCCGGGAAGTCCGCAGCCGCGGCCACTGGAGTATCGCTTTCCCCAGGGCTTCTCGGTTCCCGAACCCCACCCCCACCCCTGATTCCTGAGTCCCAGCCCAGCGCCGCTCACCATCCACATCCCGGCTCTCCCCGAAGCTGGCGCTCACAGCTCCGGCGCGGCCCGGCGGGGGGCTCAGCTTGGCCCTCAGCTCGGTGAACATGGGGCCCGCGCACACGCCCCTTGCAGAGCGGAGGGAGGCCGGTGTGCTCAGCGGGGGACGAGGGCGGTCGCCCCGCCCCGCTCGGCCGGCCAAGGCGGCCCGCCGAGTCTGCGCGGCGAGGCACCTGCCGCGGATCCCTGCGTGTGGAGCGCGCTCCAGGAGCTCCAGGAGCGCGCCGGGTTGAGCGTGAGGAGAGGTCCGAGGTGGCGTTGCGCCCCTGGGTACGGCTTCGCCACGGGGCTCTGTGCACCTGCCGAAGGCCGGCTGAGGCGGCCTAGAGAGGAACTGTCGTTTTTCTCCGTGTTGGGGGTGGAGTGCCCCAGGCCACCCTACCTACCCTTGAGCCTTCCACCCACCAGAGTGTGGGTCAGGGCCAGGCCATCTCTTCCTAAACACTGCCCTCTGCTCTCCTGTATAGCAAATTCAGGTATTCATTCTGTCCAGCACATTCTCCAGATCTCTCAGGTTTCTTCTGCAGATGAGCTTCTGCTTGCCCAGAGAAGCCAGTTTGGCCCTAGCTCACCCTCCACAGCACCCTGAGTTCCCGGACAGCACCCCCAGCTCCGCGTAACCCAAGAATCTGGCTCAGAGGCGGAGTGGGGGGGGGGGCAGGATTCGACGCTAAGAACGGAAAGCGGTTTGGCTAGGGATGGGGGCGAAAACTCCAAAGCTGTAGCAGGTAGACGACGGAGGCGTTTGCTATAGGACCTTAGCGAAAAGTGTTGGGTGCGGAAGCATGGTTGTCTGGTCCAGCCAAATCAACCAGCGGTGCCGCCTTGCTCCGCCCACAGCCTCTCTCCTCGGGTGTAGTAGCTTTGGTGGTGTCCAGCAGCAGGAGCACTGAGGCACACGGACTTGCAGAAATGCGCGCAGAGCGCAGTGGTACACTTCCGCCCAGGTCGCCAACACACGCCCCAGTGCTTACACAGCAGTCACACATTTGGGACGCTGGCCCACGCACGTCGGTGCTGCATTCGCTTGTTTATAGCTTCTGTGAGGGGCAGTGTCCGCACAGCATCCCCGCGCAGACTGACGGGCGGACCCGGAGTGTGGGCTCGCACAGCCTGACAGATAGAAAGTGGGGAGGCCGGCCACGGGAAGGCACCAGCGCGCAGGATGCGCAGGACTGCCTCGAGGACGGACCTGGCCCCGCGTGCACAGATCTTAGTGTGCTTGTGAGCGCTCCGAACAGCCACACCGGGGTCCAGGCTGGGACCCGGGGGTTTGTCGGGCGTCGTGGCCCGTTACCCCTTAGGCCTGCCGGTACCGCCCGCCGCACCACAGGTCGGCGCTACAGTACTTATCCCACAGCAGCCTTCCCCGCCGCCGTGGCCGGAAGTGGGCGGAGCGCCGCAACTCCAGCTTCCGCCGGGGTAGTCCGGCGGGCGGGGCTTCCTCTGGCCGCAGCTTTGCTTCCGGGGCGCAGGTGACGCGAAGGCCGAGAGCTTCCTTCAGTTCTTCGGCGAAGAGTCTTGCTCTCGGTGCTGCGCGGCGGCTTCCCTTCCCTTCTCCGTCTCAATTGTTACAGCCGCTATGAACAAGAAAAAGAAGCCGTTCCTGGGCATGCCCGCGCCACTTGGCTACGTGCCGGGCCTGGGCCGTGGGTGAGGCCCGAGGCAGGGGGCGGTGCGGGCCTGCGGAGCTCCCGGGAGGTGGCGCGGGGGCCGGGGATGGCTGGCGGGCCGAGCGAGGTGCTGTCAGGTCGACCTGTGAGTTAGGCGGTGCCAACTGCTTGGCGCGGGAGACAAGGACCCTAATAAATTAAGAGTGCACAGCGGCTTAGTTTGAAAGATCCCTGATAGTCGGCTTCGTTTCTGCAGTCTGAATAGCCCTGACTGTGAATCCTACCTGTCACCGAGGAGATGTGACATGGGCTCGGAGTCCAGTGTTTTGGTGTCTAAAGTGGACAAAACTCATATACAGGTCTTCACTGAGCATCAGAAGAGCCCCTCTTGTGTAGTGGGAAGATATGACCCTTCCTTTAAGTATTGACTAATGTTTTCTTTGTAATATTTATTTATTTATTTATTTATTTTTTTTAAAGAGCCTTGCTATTTAATTCAGACTGGTGTTGAATTCTCTGTGTAATCTAGTGTGGCCCTGACCTGTCGCAGTTCTGCCTCAGCCTCCTGAGTCCTGGTTTTACAGATGTACGCCACAATTAGTGGCTTTCTCTTTGTATTATTGTCACGTTGTCGCCAGAGGCTTCCTGTTCAAATTCTCAGCTCTGCCTTCCCCATTGCTTTTGGGAGGCTGATGCTTGGGTGCCCCAAGTTTGTTGCTCAGATGACTGCCAACAGTTGTTGGGTAAATGGGCAGTCATTATCCTACTTGGTTATCCATTTGGTTGGTGGTACTAGAAACTGCAGTGTTCACACAAGGTTCAGCTGTTTCACCATTTTCAGAGAACCTCTTAAGTTTACTAGGGGAGGTTCTGTGCCTGTGTAAGTCATATATGTGCAGAAGGACAGATTTAGAACATTGGAGCTCCAGAAAACAGAATTCTCAGTGGAGTGCAGCATCTGAGTCACGTTTGGAAAGAGAAATGGTTTTTGATTTGAAATTGTGACTGGAAGAAAGGAGAAACATGGTATTTTGTGTGCGGGTAGTAGAAAGATGTGGCTTAAGGGAAGACCAGGAACCAGCAAGAAGTCCAGTGTGTGTGTAACATACAGCAAGAGAGGAAAGAGCTGAGGGTTGTCAGAGAGGCCTTGAGCATCAGGTCAGACTCCTATAGGCTCTAGAGGTCTGACTCCTATAGGCCGAAGAATCCCCTGTCAGAGATGTGTTTCTGGAGCAATCATGTGGTGGAGCAAAGGTTGAAGTGGGGGAAGATTAGAGGTAGGGAGGGCTTACTGGATTGCCAACTGTGGTGGAAGTTGTGGTCTACAAGGGGATATCTGAAAGTAGAATCACTAGTACTTTGGGCAGACAGTATAGAGAAGGATGAAGAAGGAGGTAAAGATGCTGTGATGAGGCCTGCTTGGTGTCTGGGATGGCCTTGCTATTAACAGCTAAAACAGCTCAAAGACGCAGAACACGTTAAAAGAGCTCAGTTTGGGCCTGGTTGAATGTGGAGGGATAGGCTCAGCAGGTTGTTGGAAGTGAGGGACTAGAGCTTGGAAGGAGGGAGGTCTGAAGGCCTGGGTCATCATGTAGAGAAGTGGAAAAGCCTTGGGCGGGGGGAGATTGTCTGGTAACCTATTAAAGACAGGTTGAAACATTTAGGCAGGCAGACGACAAGTAGTAGTATTTGAGAGTACAGTCCACTGCCATCAGAATCTTTGGAGATTCCTAAAGGTGCTAGAAAAAGAGATTTTGATTGGGGTGGAGGTAAGCACACAGGAAGCAGGGCCACCCAGGTCATAGGTGTCTTGTGGCCTACAGTGCTACTGGCTTCACCACTCGCTCAGATATTGGGCCTGCCCGGGATGCAAATGATCCTGTGGATGATCGCCATGCACCACCAGGGAAGAGGACTGTGGGGGACCAGATGAAGAAAAATCAGGCTGCTGATGATGATGATGAGGATCTGAACGACACTAACTATGATGAGGTGATTTTGGGGGCTTCTGTGGGTATTCCTGCCAGCCTCTAGAAAGGCTTAGATTTGGGACCATCTTTAGCAGTATGTGAGGGAAATAGTAAAACTCAAGATAAGAGGATGGGGCTGGGGATTTAGCTCAGTGGCATAAGCGCCTGCCTTGCAAGCGTGTGGTCGTGAGATGGATCCCTGGTACTGGTAAAAATACAAAAAAAAAAAAAAGGGGGGGGACTTTTTTATTCTCTTCAAAAGAGATGTACTTGCAGCATGGGGTGCCACACTGGGGGTACCACCCTGGGGTTTTTTGTTGGCTGGTCTCTAATGGTGGTGTTGATGCTTGCTTTATAGTTCATTGATTCAAACAAGGTTTTCTCTAGGTATCTTCTAACAGATGATGTCTTTCTTGTGAGGAAAAATAATTCTTTTTATATGTTTTAGTACTTTTTTTTTTTTTTTTTTTTTTGGAGACAGGGTCAAAATTGCTATGCAGTTCAGACTGGCCTCGACTTGCAGCAGTCCTCTTGCCTCAGCCTCCCAAATGCTGGGATTACAAGTGTGTAACACCGTGCCCGGCTGAATTTTGGTACTTGGAATTGAATTTGAGGTCCAGTACCCCAGTATCCTTGGTATTCCTAGCACCCCCCTTTTTGAGACAGGGTGGTTTGGGCTGGCCATGAACTTGCTTAATAGCCCAGGATGCTCAAGTCTGTAGCAATCCTCCTACCTCACCTTCCTGTCCTTTTTTTTTTTTTTTTTTTTTTTGGTACCAGAGATTGAATTCATGACCTCATGCTTGCCAGGGAGGCACTTACACCACTGAGTTAATCCCTTGGCCTTAACCTCATCCTCCTGAATGCTGGGGTTACAGGTCTGTGACACCACACCCAGCTATGCCTCTTGTCTTTCATGCCCTTAGCACTTGAAGAATATTGATCAGTTGCTGAAGAATGGCTTTCAGTTAGGGTTTGTCTAATGGAAAACATAATTAGCAAGTAAATTACAACTGGATATGTTCAGTTTGTGTTGGTTGGGGCTGTGTTGGAGGGAAAGCTGATCCTGTAAATATATTTTGTTCATAGTTTAATGGTTATGCTGGGAGCCTCTTCTCAAGTGGACCCTATGAAAAAGATGATGAGGAAGCAGATGCTATTTATGCAGCTCTAGATAAAAGGATGGATGAAAGAAGGAAAGAAAGAAGGTAAATTGCTGCTTTTTAAGTTATGTTTAATTTAGGATTTGTTGTTTTGTTTTGGACCTTTGCAATGAACTGTAGCCCCAGACCTTTTTATTTTTATTTTTATTTTTTTTTACTTTGTGATAGGGTCTCATTAAGTTAGTCAGGTAGGAATTGAATTTATGATGTTCCTGCCTCAGTCTCTCAAGAGTGACTATATGGATGCTGCACTTTCCTTTTTTTTTTCTTTTTGCACAGCAGAAGCTAGGTTTGGTGTTGGCACATGTCTGTAATCCCAGCACTCAGTAGTCTGAGGCAGGAGAATCATCATGAATTTGAGGCCACCCTGGGCTGTCTCAAAAAGCCAAGTTGGTGTACTCACCTGGAAGAGAGGGAAACTGATAGATGAGTTAACTAGAGGGCTAGAAGAGAACTAGGATAATGTTTCATTTTTCCTTCTGAGGTTGGTGTTTGTAGGATGGCCCTATCTTTAGGATTTTGTGAAGTTTAAACTAGCAAATATACTGTACTTGTGTTCTAAGGAAAGCACTTGCAGATGGTTCCCAATTTAATGGTTTGACTCATAATTTTTCAACTGCCAAGTGTGTGGGATTGATTTTTTTGTTAATTTAATTAATAAACATCTTCATTTAGCAAGTCACCTTCATTTTGAAATGAACATTCAGTATTTATAACACAGGCACATGTTTTATTTCCTAGAGAACAAAGGGAGAAAGAAGAGATTGAGAAATACCGAATGGAACGCCCCAAAATCCAGCAACAGTTCTCAGATCTCAAAGTGAGCAGATAGATGCTTCCTCCATAGCCCATAAAGCTGGAGACCTAGCCAAGAGTGTAATATGTTATACGAGGATTCTGCCTTTGAGCTGTGTTCCTAGTCCTGTTGTTTTGATTTGTTTATTTATTTTTATTTTATTTTTTGAGGTAAGATCTCACTGTGTTGCGGAGGTTGGTCAGGTGATCCCTCCACCTCAATCTTGTGAAT